GAGATTATTTCAAAAACCTACTTTCAGTTTTTGGCTCTATAACTGTTAAAAAGCCAAAATTTTGGCTCTATAACTGTAAAAAAGCCAAAATTACAGCCAAAACAGGCAATTTACTAAGGAAATACATTGCCTGTTTTGGCTGTAATTTTGGCTTGCTAAATAAAACATACCTTTTTACGCTTTTGGCTTAAAGCGCTTGAACCCCATAAATTGCTTCTTGAAGCTATACTTAACATGTATTTTTTTATTTAAAATACTTATTTAAAATTTATTTTTATTTTTTGTATTTAAATTCAATTAGTTTAAAAAAAATATATTTTTATTTTCTTAAAAATGACAATAAATCTGTTTTGTAGTTAATGCGTCAACCAATTTAAGAAGGTTAGGTTTACTCAAACAGGCGGTTTCATAACTGTTGAGCTTTGATAATAATAATTTTCTACCGTACAAAACCTGCAAATGATTTATTTTTTAAATATCTGGTTTTCATCCACAAACAGGTTAAGGAGGTCTTTTTTGGAGAAATTTTCAAAACTTGTGTTAGACAAAGATAAGACGATAAGTCTGTTTTTCACCAACAATATTGACTTATTATAGGCATTTTAATCATATTAATGATAATGCTATATTATATAAAAATATATTAGGGGCTAAAATGAACACATTTCTTCTGGTTTGGTGTCCAGCATTCTCACTTTCTTAAAAAAAAAACTGGATTTATGGAGGAAATTTTAAAGACCTGGAAAAGTTATGTTAATTTATAAAATCTTTAAATGATTTTATCCGGTATAGAAATTGCTATTTGTAAGTAAAAAAACAAAATTGAATAAAAAAACCCTGGAAGAATTAGGTAAAGAAGTAGTAATTAATCATTGGTAATAAAAAGTGTAAACACACAAGAACAATCAGTTATTTAAACAATTCTGTAATTTTCACTTTAATTTTAGTTTATTTTTTATTTACCTAATTTAAATATTGTCTTTGAGAGTGAGGGGTTTTGGAGTCTAAATGGTTGCGAACCACTGGCCTTACTGATGGAGTTGAGGGGGTATATAAGACAAAAAAGGAAAACGGGTTTATAGAACACATGAACTATTAAATGATAACATTCAGTAACAAAGCAACATATATCCTCAAAACAATAAATCCCCATGCTGGCTCAGGGCCACTGCGGCTTGATTTAGTTCTCCTGTGTTTATAAGGAGCATAAACAAATTTGTTGTCACATTAAGAGGTCTGTCTGTTAACATAATAAAAAGGTGAAAATACCACCGAGCCACTTTATTTTCCTTGGACTTGGCCTCATTACAGGGGACGAAAAGCCATATATTTATAGCACAACATAGACACATTCCCATGTAGGCCACTTGCTCGACATAACATCCAAAATTAGCAGAGGCAACATACTGACTTCTCCACCACGGACCAAAACATTTCACTCCTGTTATGGATAGCACATAAACATAAGTTACTTATATTACCTCAACAGGTTATTTATTTTAGAACCAACTCAAAAATGTCAGTATATATGAGGATGAGAAGTATAAAACTGAGTATGCTACAACTTTGATTACTTGAAATGAGATGGTACTATTTTGTCTAAATGAATAAAAAATAAAACCCTAAAAACCAAAGTCAAATTGTTTTAAATGCTACAAGTGAATTAATGCATCACAACATTATAATGTACAGTATGAAAATATGGATAATAATTTTGAGATTTGCTAAAAAATGACATTTAACAGTCTTATTAAAGTAATAATATTTTGTTTTGATTTGTTTAAGATTGAGTGTTAGATGACAGCAAAGCTAATCTAAATGTAAAAATAGAGGAAATTATCAATTACTGATAAATCTGATAACTGATATGGTACCGGTATGTTGCATGCCAAGATGTAAACAGTCAGAAATTAGATATATACATCAAGCAAGATAATATCAGGGCCTAAAAATGGATATGGATTCCTAGATATGCCTCCCCAAAGCAATATTCAGTCCATCTCTTCCTGTGAGTAATGAAACAAATGACAATTAAGACTCTGTATTGTGGAAGTAAACATAATCCTTATCTAAATGGTGGTGAGTGCAATGTACTCGGAAGGGATGTTGTTTTTGTTCCAGAGTTCTGCTGGGAAAAGGAGGAGTTTTCCCCTAAGACAGAGGGAGACCTGGGTCTTAGTATTGGTGGGAATGAAAAGACAGGCCTTGACTTCAACAGGCACAACACTGCCCATGTCTAATGGATACGTGCCGCCGTCGCACATGTTGCTGTTAGCCTTATGCGTCTAGACTCGTGATGCAGCTCTCTGATCTGAGAATTAGGAGGAGTGGGAACGTGTCTTCATGAAGCTCAAGCACAGGTCAGCCAAGCGAGACAAAAAGTTGTGTACTTTGTAAGTAGTCATTCAACAGATGCTTCAATCCAAAGCCACTTCAAGCTTGTTTGTTGCTCATGTCACCTCTAATCTCTTATTGAAAAGAAACAACTTCCACCCCTTTGGTTCCAAGTCTAACTCGTATGACAAAGAGGGGACGAGAGGCATGGTTTGCATGACTGTGATGTAACATGACAGCAGAGCCTTGCGGTTGGACACAAGGGACCGTTTCCAGTTCTGAGGCAGGTGCTGAAAACAAATCCATGTGGTCTTGCTAACAAAGGCCACTGAAAGGCTACTGGGAGAGAGCATCCTGGCAGGACACGGGTTATTGGACTTCCCAAACATGCTGTTTTTCTGTTGGTTATGATCCCAGTGCAATTGAGAAATGTTGAAAGCATACTGGACACTATGCCAAAAGTTTATTTAAAGGTGTTCTGGAAAGAGGTACCATGAAGGTTTTAAAGAGTGTCATCTTGAAAATCCATCTATGGTAAAGGGTTAGTTCACCCAAAAATAAAAATTCTCTCATCAGTTATTCACCCTCATGTCATTCCAAACCCATAAACCTTTTCTTCGAACACAAAAAAAAATATTTTTTATGAGACCTGAAAGATTTCTGTCCCTCCATTGAAAGTCCATTCCACCAAAACTTCGACACTTCAAAAAGTTCATAAAGAGATCGTAAAAGAAATCCATATGAATCGAGCAGTTCTTATACAGTTCTTGACACGTGAGAACAAAGCTCATTGGTTCTTGCGGAAACTCAAAGGTGTTTGTCTGACACACGAGAACAAACCTAATTGGTTCTTGCCCACCAAGCAAACATGTTTGAGCTTCTGTTTAAAATATTTAATGAGGTCTATGGATGCGTGTTGATCAATGTGTATAAAAGCCTAAATTAAATTTGTTCATCATATAAAGCGATCATTACTTTTCAGAACACTTAGAATTAACTGCTCAAATCATATTGAATTCTTTAACAATGTTTTTATGAAAACGATGAAGTTTTGGTGGAATGGACTTTCAAACAAGGGACCGAAATCTCTTAGGTTTAATTAAAAATAGCTTCATTTGTGTTTCGAAGATGAATGAAAGTTATATGTGTTTGAAATGATCTGAGGGTGAGAAAATGATGACAGAATGAACTGTCTCTTTAACTGAGTGCAGGATTAGTTTCTCAGTAAGAGCTAAGAAGAGTTGTTGCACACACTCCCCTAACCCAACAGATCTCCCTGCACACTCTGGGAATGAAACTAATAACAAAGTTAATTGTAGTGGAAAAAATAATGGCCAGTGATCCCATTACACAGCGAGGGTCCCTGCATTCCAGAACAGAAGCAGCATTTCCATGTGCAGGTCAGTCTTTATGGGGACGCTCTGAAAGGCATTGCATTGCCAGCCAAGCAGAAAGGAACACCAAGTAACTCAAATTAAAGAGCTCCGACAAATCACTGAGGTCACAAGCAAGAGCAAGAGATTCACGGTTTGCAGTGTCTAAACATTTTGCAGTTCTCTGGTTATTATCTGGCATTGCCAAAACGGTTGCATTCGTTTGACGGCGTTCTCATATTTAAGGATATTTTCTTTAAAAGAGTGACATACAGTAACAGCCCCATATATGACCCTTTGTGCCCTGAACTCCAGGGAATGAATATGCACAAATTTAAAAATAGACTCAAGAAAAGTTTTAAACAGTGGGTTACATAATATTTGTGTCAACATTGCTGTTGATTGTTCAACTGCCATCGAGTTGCCATGGTCTTCGTCTCTCGAGGACGGTGGTAATGTGTGTGGACAGAGACATCCATTTAGCTCAACCAATCACACAAGGACTCGACCGTGACTCATCAATAACGTGATGAGCACAGAAAACGTGGGAGACATGTTGTAAAAACAAACATCTTGGAAAGACTGGCAGCCCTTCAAAAATATGATAAACCTCATAATATATTAAATAAATAAATAAAGGACATGGATAGTTTCCTAGTGTTTGTTGAAAAGGCTAGTTTTGAATAAAATGTTTGACATCACCCATGTGTAACTTTAATTATAAAATTGTATAATTATATAATTATGCACAATGGTTTAAGTTTTTTTAAAAGAAAAAGAATTATTTTGTTCAACAAGGATGCATTAAATTGATCAAAAAAGGTATTTATAATAAAAAAAAAAAATGCTGTTCTTTTTGAAGTTTTTATTCATCAACGAATCTCGAAAAAATGTAGCGTGATTTCCATAAAAATATTAAGCAGCAAAAACTTACAATTAAGTTTTCAAACTTTCAAATAATAAGAATATTTATTAATAACTGATTACCAAATCATCAGTTATTTCTGAAGGTATAATGTGACACTGAAGGCTGGAGTAATGATGTTGAAAAAGTGATGCAAAGCTATAACAGGAACAAATTACATATTAAAATATATTCAAACAGAAAACAGTTATTTTAAATTGTAATAGTCTCTCACAATATTACATATTTTTTTTACTGTATTTTTGATCAAATAAATTCAGCCTTTGTGAGTAAAAGAGACTTTTTTTAAAGCAAAAAAAATAAAAATCTTACCGACCCCAAACTTTTGACTGGCAGTGTAACTAAACCCCATAATGACATTGAACAAATGTTTGTAATTCAGTTTTATTCACCATAAGCTATAAATGAAACATTGCAGAACATGCAATATTTAAACAGCAATTTACCTATAAAAAGAGCCTTTGGGGGCTGTAACTGAAATATGGGCACCTTGGCACCATTTATTTGACATTCTCCAAACGTCATAAACAAGTAAAACTTGTAATTCTTTCTTGGAACAAAAGCTATTTTGTGGACAACTGCTGTGAGAAAACGATCATTTATGTAAACAAAAATACAATAATGCCAGTCAAGTTTATCATTGTTCAGGTCTTTGACTGAAAGTGAACCTAAATAAATAATTAAATTGAACAGAAAGGATGTGTTTAACAGTATAGTCCGTGAATGAGACAGACCTCTTCAACCCTGCTGTCTCTTCTCCCAGCGATCACCTCACAGATCTCCAACTAGGACTCTCTGGCTCTGGGTATATGGTGCGGAAAGTGAGATTTATCCGAGCCCCGCGGTCATGGTACTCCTTTGCGACCTGGTGCTATTAAAAAAAAACATTAATAATGTTAAAACTGCACTCACAATGTATTTAATATTTCAAATACACGATTACACATGGTGTCATGTATATTTGGACAGACAGATGATAAAGAATGTCGCTTGACTAAGCAAAAGTAGTGCACATTCACAGATACAATGTTGAATTGGTGCCCACAGTTTGACAATTATGTAACAGCTTTCAAAGCCTATACAAATGTTGTGATCATTTTAAAAGAAACAGCCATACACGTGGGTTTAGTTAACTTTATTTTGACAGGTCAATGAGAGTTATGTCAACCTAATAAGATCGTCTGAAAGCTTTTTGGCACAATCCGTGAGTGACCTTTCTTAAACGGTTTTGAGATGTCGCCATTAAATGTTTTTGACCTTTATCTATTCTTTGTGCCTCACCAAAGGCCTGTGGTTCCTCTTGGAGTCGGATTTCAAAAACAACTCTTAATCAGGATTAAAATAACTTCCAGCAGGTTTTTACATTAAAATGCAAAAAAACAAAAAACATTTACTTTTCTAAGTGCACTCATCTACACTGTGTATAGATAGATGGCGTCATGACATGATGATTAACTGCTACATAATAAAATAACCTGTTAAATACGAAAAAGTGTGTGTGTGTGTGTGTGTGTATATGTATACACAAATGTAAAGAATCATTAAAAGAAATAACAAAAATTAAAAGTCAAACTAAATTTAAATTGTAATTCATATTTAATATTATATATATATACATTTTTCCCCCCCTCATCATCACAATATCATAATATTCTATTATCATTACTATTATCATGAAAAGTCGAGTTTACATTTAAAAGAAGCATGTTTGTGCTGAAAAGAGTGACTATAATGACTTAATTTAAATGAAAAGCACTGCTATTTTAGAGCATTTAGCTCCCGGTCCACTAGATTGCGAGGGAGTAGGTTTCTGCTCTGAAATATTGTATGTTTTGTGATTTCTCTCCAGTGTCTGTAGTATTTTATGTGCACTGTTTTGCAAAGTCTTTCTTGGAAATACTGTCCGCCTCAGTATGCTGTGAAGAAACCCGTTCATGTTCCCTCTTTACACCATTACACAGACTCTCGACGGCAAATAGTGTGACCGTTCCAGATCATCCCAATCACATGTGATCAGTTTTCCAGAATGCACTGTAGAGCCAAAACAAAGGAACACTACCCCCCCCCCCTTTCAACCTTGCTTCACAGTCTGGCTTTATCAGCAGCGTTTTTAAAGCAGACTGTTATTAACTGGCAGCTTCACTGCTCATTTTAGACTAAACAAATGCTCCTGCCAGTTCTTAGAGTCACATTAAAACTTGAATAAACTCTCGGTAAAAGTTCTTGTAAATCTTAGTGTTTTTCTGCTCCCGTCTGAGCTTGTGGTGCAACTTAGCAAGAAAACAATTCTTAGATTTCTGACTCTGGTTAACTGATTCTGTTGTGTTTATATTTCTTCAGAGCAGTACCTGCCAGTCCTCCTGTGTACAGCCTTCCATGAGCAGGAGGGTCCCGTGGGCCAGCGGGATGCGTATGCGCTCCACATAGCTGTAGTCTCCGTTGTCCTCCTGGAACACATACACATAATGGAAACATAATCAGGGTACGCAGACTTCAAACGCAAACGCCGGTTGATTCTTTCTAAGGGCTAAAAAGAAGGAGAAAATGACTCAATTCCAAAAGCGGTAGAAACTTTCACTAACATTGTAATCAGGATTCTGATAAAAGTATTAAGATTTGCCATTTTTAAACTAGTGTTTCACTGATATTCAAATTCTGACCGGTGCTGAAGTCGATAATTATTTGCACGTTATGACCAAAAATTGTATTCATTAAAATGGTAAATACATTAAAAATAAAACACTAAAATAAATGCTACAGGTGAACTGAATCAACATTGAACTGAAAGACACTATTGTCTTCTGAAAAGCTGCTTATAGCTGAATTGAACACGTTTCAAAATTGATGAACAAACGTTGTCTTAATTTTTTTCAGTTCAAACGTTGTCCGGTGGAAAACAGCAGGAAGCCCATAAAGCTGCCAGCCATTTCATGATTTTGGTTTTATTATGATTAATCGCCCTGCCCTAATGCATCGTGCATCCTAGTGTAAACACCATAATACCCAACATTTAAACCCTAGTATGACTGTGACAAGTTATAAATGGCCCATTCGCAGACTCACAGGAAGTGGCTGCTTTCGGAGACTGAACACTCTAGTGTCGCCCAGACTCAGAGAGGCGATGGTGGGCTGGGGTCCTAATGAAGGCTCGTTGTCACTGTGCCAGCCAATACTGTCTTTACCGTCCCGGTACAGGTTACACAGCAATGAGTTAAACGTGTGGCCGCTCTTCTGCTCAACAGCCAGACGCAGAGTGCTAAGAACTGGAGGCCACTATTATAAAAGAGAAATATGGAAAGAGATGCTTTAAGATGTCATTTTTGTTTGGTCACTTGCTAATGTAAAAACAGCAGATCGTACGATTTACCTGAGCATTGGCCTCCATAGTGGAGCGTGAATATGTATATGGCAGTTCTCCATACCAACAAGTGAGTCTGGGTTCCTCATATCCATCACCTGAAGTGCAAAACACAATGAATATAAAGTACGTTCTGGTATTTGTACTTTCAATACTGCTTGACATCTCTTGGGGTTTAAAGACATTTCATATTCAGTGATACTCAGTTACAGTTGCTAATTTGACTGCACTGACACTATTGAATGAGAACAAAACCTCAACTGAACTGAGTTGGATATTAAACTTGAACTGAACTGAATCAACACTGAACTGAATTGAGTTGAATAATGACACTATTGCCTTCTAAAAAAGAGGTTTTACAGCTGAAATTGAATTTGTTTCATAAATGATGAATTTAGTAACATCACTGTTATTTTCCTATTTATTACTGTCAGGCTGCTTCAAAACAATCTGTATTGTATTAAGGGCTATATAAATAAATGTGACTTGACTTGATGATGTGTCGATCTTCAGCGCACCAAATAGGGGCCGAAAGTTCGCGGAACCAGAACATATTTGTCAAAACAAGACTCGATCAGTCACAGTCAAGCATGAACTACTCCTGGTCCAAAGTAAATGTTTAAACATTTGGTATATTTGGGACTTTTTAAAAAATGATGTCGGTCCTGAAAGGTAAACAGACGAGAGAACTGGAGGCAGTGGCATTCCTGCCAATTTACTGATGAAGAAGGACTGGAAAGAGTGAGTCACTGTGGGAAGTGTACTTCGTGAACACGTCTGAGTGGGACAGATGCAGAGTGTCATTATATGCTTATTTTCATTCTCCTGTTTAGCACCAAGGCTCAACGTATGTTCATATGCTACAGGATATGCTTTTTGCTGCTTTTTCAATTTGCTTTATAAAAAATGAGCTAAAGCAACACAATTGCTGAACATTTGATCACTTATCAACTTAATTTTATTGTGTTCAGTCCACTTATATACTGTATTTAAAAATTGAGGCTTACTTAAATCATTACATTAATCATTTTTGCTGCATTAACTGAAACTGCATGGGTTGATTCTTAGTTCCCAGCATGCTTTGCATAGAACTGAACTGAAAGAGTAAATGTTAAAATTAAGTGTTATTTTATGCATTTTTGAGTAAAGGCTTAATGTTCAGTTATGTTGGACATTTAAAGAGTTTCTGACTCACTTTTTGATAGACAAATTGAAATTTTTAAGGCCTCGAAATTATCAACATGATCAACACTGCTGAAAAAACGGTTGTACACAATCTATTACATGCCTTTTGTCTGATTGATAGTTTATATTTTTTTAAGTAAGTAAAAGACCTTGTATAATTGTAAAAATATCCACCTTCAGGTCACGGTTCACGTGTCTTTTTAGCTGTGATTATTTGTTTACTGATTTTCATAAAGTAAACATAATAATAACTTTCATATTGTTAGTAATTCAAGATGAGCACTTACTGGACTGAAGAAACTTATATTTACTTGATTATCCATTTTGGAATAATGTTAATGGATAATGTTAAAATGTGAGTGTCAAATATGACCCATCAGGCTTTTGAGTTGTTTATTTGTTCATCTCTCAATTATCATAGCATATACGTTTTGCCTCCACAACGAAAACTACAGAGCTACTTTGATCATAAGACTGTAACATTTTATTGGGAGATATAGAGTGACAACTGATATTTATTTGCATTTTTGCATCCTCCTCAAGAATGAGCTCTATATTCTCACTATATCATACTATATGAGCCAAAAAAGCCTAATGCACCAAATTTTTTTCATGATGTTTTTAATATTTTGTCTAAAGGTTCAATAATTGTTCCACTTCAAAAAATTTGATTTTCTGACTATTATTTCATATGTCAGGCTTTATGGGGTTAATCATGAACATAATCTCCAGAGGTTAAAACACTATTTCCCCTTCCCCAATTTACAGTACTTCAACATGCGACTTACCCATCATTCTATAATTGGTCTTTTGTGACCAGGGCAGTTCAGCGAGCAGCTTACTAAACATCCAGTCTGCCTCCTCCTGCTGTAGGAACCCCGGTATGAGCCGCAGTCTGGGCAGAAACACAGTAAACAATCACCTAAATGCAGGAAATGTTCTTTTGAAGGGGATTTTTTTTTAGTTTATGCTACTTTAAACTCTGAGTATTCTTACCGGGACACACCAGTAGGCCCCTGACTAATCTCATAGTCACCGGCATTTCTGGGAAAAAGAAAAAAAAAAACACAGTGAATATATATATATATATATATATATATATATATATAAACGGGGTATGTCAATCAATAGGGTTTTATTGCTTGAAAGTGCCTTGTACTGAGTCACTCACTCGATCACTTTCTCTGCAGGAATCTCTCTGATGGGCTGACAAAAAGACACAGGATAAAGTAGAGACACTTAGATGTGAGCACTGTCCAAGAAAACAGCATAAAAGCTACAGAACGGCTCTTACGTCAGGCTGATTGAACTCAAATGATCGCGGTCCGTATTTCCATGACCCTGACTGGACATCTTGAGCTGAAACTTAGAACATAAATAATTTTAATTTAAGGAACCATTTAGGAATCACACTTATCACTGTCTGTAACAAAATGAACAGAAGCAGAAAACAATACATTGATACACTGTACTACACCTATATTGCCTGTTTTGTCTCCTGAAGTCCATTTATAAAGTTAGTCAGTGTTTTTTGAAACAAAATAAAATCCAATTAAGTTTTATATAACCTTTCATACTTTCTCTGACCCTTGTGTTTAAACAGGCTGTTTTTGCTACTGTACCTTTAAGATTTATATATGTAAATGATCTGTTTACGATAATTGTATTGGGTATTGGCAAAAGTTTACAGTGTGGTTATTCAAGGGTTTTTTCTTTAACAATGAATTTCCATGACTTTTCCAGTCATGTAATCATTTGGGGAAATTATTGATTTAATAAAGTTTCCATTACTTTTTCACAATTTCTCAGCTTATTTGATATTACTGCTTAAGGATTTTGGAAAATCATTTATCTGATAATTTATGTAAACAATCAAAATAATTTGCTCAATCACTCGATTTAAATAGAAAATCAAGTTTCTATTACCATTTTTTTTAGATTGTATTAATTTACATGACTTTTCCACAACTTTTCAAAGATTTTTGAAAATCATTTAATCATTTACGTAAAAAAAATCGGATAATTTTTTTAATAAACCGCCGTCGGTGTATGAATGAGTGTATGAATGGGTGAATGTGAGGCAAAATGTAAAGCGCTTCGGTGGCCATTGGGTCTGTGAAAGCGCTATATAAATGCAGTCCATTTACCAGTCCATTTAAATAAAAATAATTTACTTAATAACTTAACTTACATAAAAAAAATCCCTTGTTTAATCTAGTTTCAATGACTTTTTAAGATTTTATGAATTTCCATGACATTTCCACAATCTAACTGCACAATTTAACCATTTACAGAAAAAAAATAATCATAAAAATAAAAATGATTTATTTAATCACTTTTCAACTACCCTTTCCAAGATTTTATTGATTTCTATGACTTTTGCAGGCCTGTAAATCACATCTATACTCTCAAGACTGTAGAAACATGTTGTGGAATACTAAACAGATGTGATTATGTAAATAATGTATATGTCATTAAATCTTTTTTTTTTTTTTGCTGTACATGTATTATAATAGGTAAACTCTTGGAAAGTGGTCATACCAGTTGGCTGTTGTGGTTTGTGAAGAGGTTTGGCCCAGGAGCCCTGGACCCTCGCTCGCTGCCTTTTATCACTCATCAAAAGCTAAAAAATGATCTGACAAGACAAAAACATATGACGTCCGTGGGCTTTAGTACCTTAGAAGGACACAAAAAAATATATATATTTTTTTTCTCTCCCAGTTTTACAAATGATACATAAGGATTTTGCTGCCATCTTCAGGTATTTTTCAAATCACTCATTAAAGGATATCACTCCTATTTCATTCTTGATTGTGGTTATGGGTCAGGTTTTAAAACCAATCACTTAAAAAGTAAGATGAGCATAATATAGAGAACCATATAACATGCATAAGCATGTTTGATGTAAACAGACTGATGACATCAAACGTTATACTTATAAGTTACATTTGCACACTTCCTAGACAGAGACATGTTTTAATAACTTTTTAATGACCTGATAGCTGTCCCAAACATTAACACCTTCAATAATACTTACACACAGTCGTTTCGAGTCGATTTTTCTCGTTCTTCAACGCGTTTGAACATTTGTGTAATGTAATACAATCAGTTCTGGTGTTCATCGAAACGTGTCCGGGTTACTACAATGACCGATTAAATATTTCCTACCTTCAGATGATCGTTCCTCCCCCTGTGCTCTGTAAGTACACTGCTATTTGAATATGAACATATAAGCATCATCAAATATGTGTATTATACAAATATAATATTGTATATTTGTTTAAAAAGCAATACGTATGCTATAGATAACCTACTAGACTTTCTATTTGTTTTGTAATATTACAACTAACCTTTTGTTGGAAATATTTAAGAAGCCTACAGAATGGTACTGAAAAAAGAAACCCAGACTTACATAAGGAAAGTATTTGCTCATTTTCAACATAGATCGAACTAACTTTTAATCAATTTATATAAGGAATTAAGCAAGTATCTTCAAAAATGGTTAAATACCTGATAAACAAAGTGAACACCTGGATTAGGGTGCATTATGTCAGGCATTGCTATTTACACAAAGACTGTTGGGTAGATTTTTAAAAAAGCAAGATTATTACATTTTGAAGTAGCCTAGAAGATAGCTGTAAAATGCTTGGCAAAGCCTTAAACCTTGAAGCTTTACTGTGCAAGTGTAAACACTGATTGGTGCAGATCCGTTGTGCTTCACTCAGGAGTCTTTTAGTAAATAAGATTCTGTAGGATTGTGTTCAGTTCCAGAAAACATTTGTTTCGAGAATAACAAAGCCACATTTATCTATAATTCTGCCCACCTTAAAGGGATAGTTCACCCAAAAATGAAAATTCTGTCATTTACTCACCCTCAAGTTGTTCCAAACCTGTATGAATTTTTCTTCTGCTGAACACAAAAGATATTGTGAAGAACATGGTTAACCAAACAATTGATGGACCCCATTGCCTTCCGTAGTAGGGGGGGAAAATACTATGGAAGTCAAAATATCTTTTGTGTTAAGCAGAAGAAAAAACTCATACAGGTTTGGAACAACTTGAGGGTGAGTAAACGACAGAATTTTCATTTTTGGGTGAACTACCCCTTTTAGAATGCAAAGTATCAGAGGACCTCAAAACTATTCAGCAATCATAATTTTGTACAAGTATATCAGTACTGGTTTAAGGACAGACATTAAAAGAAATCAAATAAGAAAAAAAAAATGAAACACCTTCACAGTTTTATACAATTTATAAAAAAAAAAAAAGACAAATACAAGATAATTACAGAAAATTCATTTTTATTAACAAACAAGCACTTCAGTGTCATGCATCAGTAAAGCAGCACATTGTGTTCCACTCTTCGACACGTCTGGAATGAGAACATTCAAGTTAAACCAGGGGCGACTAATGAGGATCAACCACCTGGATGTTTCAACTTGACTGGCACTTGTCCATAAACAATCATACAGAGATCCAAGCTATTGAGGTAATCCTCAAATCCATCTTTGGATGAAACCCAAGACAAACTGGTGACATTCCACCACACCTTAAAGACTTCAGCAGAGAAAATAATGTAAACGTGCATTAGATCTCCTTTAATAATCGTGACCAAGTTTCATGTTCTATAAAAAGGCACAGGGTTTCAATAAACCAAAACTGACAGGTAAACTTCCAGCCTGAAAAGGCCAATATACAAAAATACACTTAAATCAGACCTTTGGTTTTATATCGATACAGTACAGGATTCAAAAGTTAGCCACCATTGATTTGCTAAATATGATAAATTAATGACAAGAAAGGCCAGCACCCATTTATCACTACAAGGCATAACAAGTTTTTTGGCAGTTAACAAGAAGAGTGCAAGATTATCAAAGAGTAAATATATATCTATAATTAGTAATTAAATAAATAGAAAACACCACCACCACCATATAAATAGCCCTCTGCTTACAACAGCAGTGGTCACAAAACCCTCCTCCAAAATGTAATACTTTGTTCACCCTATAAAGAAAGATTGGTCCTCCCATTTCAGTAACAAGTCATTATGGGACATGAGCATGTCCAGATATTTATATAAAAATAAAAAATAAACGATTGGGTGTTATAAGAGGAAGCACTTCAAAGACGTGAGATCCAAAGTGAATCTCAAATCTCAGCACATATATATTCTATAAAACATCTTGTCCTGTTTGGTTTCCATCATAGAATGTCCTCGACCTATCGCAGCTTTCTCCTCCTGAGGTATCCTCCGCGCTGGGACTTGTTCAAGCGCAGGCCCAGGCAGATGACCAGCTGGATGGGGGCCAGGACGGCGATTACCCAGCCCTGCGGGACACAAAGATAAGAAACAAGGTTAGTTAGGGTGACAAACATGCTCACTAGCTAGGTTTCCATCCACCTATTTTAATGTGTATTTGGGATATCGCATTAAAAGAAGCTGGATGGAAACTGCAAGATGAACAAACTACAAAAGAAACACATTCCCCAAAAATTGTTTTTGATGCGCTTCAAAAAGAGACGTGACTTTGCGATGGGATGGCAGAACTGGACCGATCTTTTTGCACAGCATCTGAAACGCTGTTTTGGTTCTTCTGAAATGCCTGAGCAAAATCTATCAAAGTGTTTCGGTATAATTTCCTCCCAGAATTTTCTTACACGACTGCATTCCTAAACAGCAGGCATCCGCCTCTGAAAGCAAGCGAGTTTTGTCTGCGCGCTCTGAAGCGAAAGTCATTTATTATATACGTAAATTATTATATACAGTGGCTTCTCCTACTGCTGCAACTTCCATTTATCTTAGTGAGATTTAGCGGAAGTTTATCAGGAAGTGACGATTTTGTTCTCATCGACTCACTGAATGGAAAATTTGAATTATCGCATAAAACATTTGCGAATAAAGCACAAAGTTAAATCCGCATCTTTGGATGGAAACATAGCTAATGAATGACTTGTATTGAATTTGACATTTGAGGTGAGACGTTCAGGCAGTCGTACCATGACGGCGTGAGGGAAATAGCCGTTGGTCTGGTCCTGCAGTCCCACAGTGTTCAGTTCAGCAGCCACGTAGCGTTCAGGGGTGGGCTTGTCTAGGGTTGGTTTCCTGATCCTCGTCATCTTGGTAGCCACAAAGAAAGGCAGCACACTCTGCGGCAGGGACAGAGAGGTTTGTTATTCATTAAAAACACTTTCAGCCATTTTTTCAGTTTAATAGGCTATATAGGCCATGTTTGCATGCATGAAGCATCAAGTCAAGTCAAAAATTATTTCTATAGCGCATTTAAAAGCAACAGTTGCACCAAAGTGCAGTACAACAAAACATTGAGCATATAAAAATGCAGCATACAAAATTTAATTTCCTATATATAAATATAAATATAAATATCTGCCCTACTTTTTCCCTCCATTTAATAATATTTCACTCTGTAATATGGCACATTATAGAAGTAAAGTAGCATTTAATGACAGTTTTCTCACCTGGATGATGATCCCTTTGCTCTTGTACTCTGCATGAAGTCCACGTGAGAAGTAGTCCACAAAAGCCTGTAGAAAGATGACAAGTAAAAATCATCCTCCAAAAAAGCTACATTTAAATCAATAATTTCTAAATGCACAAAGTGAATTTAAGCATTATAATGTGGGGTATGAAAAATGTATACTCACTTATATTTTATACTCAGATTTGCACATTTAATAGTGTTATTAAATTAATGTTTTTAAAGATTCGCTTTAAGTGAGCGTTAGATGATGGCAAAGGTAATCTAAATGTAAAAATAGAAAAAAAAAAAATTGTGCACAAACTATTAAATATACATTATCGACCAATACTAATAAATATAATACCACCAAAATTTTAAAACAATTGTATGAACAAGTTAACTTCAGATTGTTCCGTATAAAGACTATTTTATTTCTTTCTGAAACAATTATGAGCACTGATTTTTCTGTGAAGAACATTGTGAAGTCACTTGCCTTGGTGGAGGAGTAGATGGTCAGCAGTGGAAGGGGGAACATGCCACTGGCAGAGGAGATATTTAGGATGACACCTTTAGCTCTGCAATATAAAAAAAAACTATTTCAACCGATCATGTTTGACATTGACATCAAATAAGGTCTTTTTTCCAGCTGTGGAAACCTAAAAGCAGCCCTCACATCAACACACGTCTAATGATGGTCGCCATGCGTGTTGCCATGGCACCAGTTCTCATGCAGTACCCCTGCAGCCGCAGCAGAGTGCTGGGGAGTGCAGAGGGTTGGACCTATTTGTACAAAATTTGCCCAGCTCCGTTATTGGCCCCAGAGTAGCATGTGACTTCAGAGTAGCCAATCGGATCAGTGCATTGTTGCTTTTCAATTTTACACAAAGAGTTGGGGGGGGGGACACTCAGGTGGAAAAACCCTGTTTTGAAAAAGCTGCACTGAATTCCCTTTTAGTGGCAGCGGACGTGTTAGGAATTCCAGCGCAAATAATGAAACATCAGGACTCACCTTGCCTCCATCCTGGGCAGAACCAAACGAGTCATCTGGCAAAAAAAAGAAAGAAAAAGTTACTCCAAAATGACATTAAAAATCTGTAATGCTAATATTTCATTCGAGAGAGCGAGAGAGAGAATGTGTGGGTGGTGAACACGAGGAGCGTTGGTAGAGATCAGCAAAAGAGAGAGAGACAGAGAGAGAAAACAGGTACAACAGGAGTACATCAAAGCGGTCATGTTGCAGTACTTTTAAAATTTCAAATTAGAATTTTCAAAATGAAGAATTCCGAAGCCCTTCAAACAGCACAACGTGTTTGTGTCTACTTACTTGGCACACTGAGGTGATGTTGACATTGATCATGGTGGTGATGAACTGCAAACGGAAATGAAAGGGTGAATATTTCTTCACAGTAATGTGGCTACTAATATGTAAACCTCCTCAGAAGTAGTTACTCACGTTTTCCAAATCAGGGATGTGGAGGAAGAATTCGGGGTATGTATAGGAGATTCCCACATTGTTAACTATGGTTCAAGAGACAAAAATAGAAGATTAGATGGGGTTGAATGCGAATCTGAAATGTTCCAAGAATCACCACTATGTGGCGATAAAGCATCAGGAATGAGATGAGAGCCTGAACAACAGACATAAAAAAAACTCAATCACGATTTCAGGTATAAAAAAAATAATAAAAAAAAACACCTTCTGGAGGATGAGGCCAAATAAAAGAGGTTTCAAACACAGACATGGAATCGTGAATGAAACTTGAGTGCGTGTTAGCTTTCTGACAAGAGGTTTGTGTTACTTTCAAGGCTCTGCGTAGAGAGAATTTTCTTTTTAACTTACCGAGGATTCCAATCTCCAGTCCTGCAAGACCCTTTTCGATTTTAGGATAGATATCAGCCTGACTGTAGTCCACTGCGATGGTTTTTGTTTCCACCTTATATGTGCTTTCTGTAATCAGAGACACAAAAGACATTAAGCGCAGAGAAAAAGACGCAAAGAGCTGAAGCCTCCTCCCCCCCAAAAAAACCTGCTGAAACAGTCATCGTTCCAGCTGCAGACCTAATATTGGCATTGGAGAACTCTGTCCAAGATCAGGCATCCCTGCTATTGCTGCTGTTCTAAAAATAACTTCTCTGGGACTTTGCACATTGCACCAAAACACAGATTTCTGGCCAGCAGGGGGCGCTGCGTACCAAGAAAAAGCTGTCAGAGGAACTTCCTACATCTCCCCCCTCCTCCGCTTGTTTGATGTGCCTGCAGCAATTAGAATTTATTGTCCAAAGGCTCATTTGTCTAAACACTGTTCCACTGAGTTATGAGAGGAAAATTCCTCTCAGGTCTCGCAGCGAGAAGCATTTTTTATGTATATCGAACGGTTATTTTAAGAACAACACACATATATGAGCTCCAAAGACTTTTGTCCTAGGGGCTTGTGGGATACTGCTATCTGCGACTTATAACACCCTAAATGGAGGGTGATCAATGCAAATGTTAGGTTTGAGAACTAGGTTTGGCAAATTACATCCCGGTTCGTGACTAGCCATAACCTCCTCCCATTCTGTGTGTTGCTAGCATGACTGTGGTACTGGGTTTTTCAGCCTACTAACCTCAGCAGTTAAGTGCTTGCATTGAAGACAGCTTAAAAAGTTGATTTTAATAACATTTTATAGTTAAAACATTTTAAAAACTGCATCAGCATAGAGCTTAAATGAGTCCTTTCCAGAGCTGATCATGGGACGAGTAAGACTATCAAGGCATTGTTAGTTCATTATTCAGTACACATTGGGGCCAAATAAGTATAAGACAACTCCTATTCACAATCTCACAGCCAGTCATGATTCATTCATACTAAAAGAAAATGTAGGATGAAAAATTAGCAAGTTATATAATAATAATAAAAAAAACCCGACAAGTACCTTGAACACTGAGAGGATGTGGGGGGAATTCATAATAAATTCAACACTTATATAATATATGCTATATTTAAAAATTCAGTGTTCTTGTTAACTAAAACTATTAAAAATCATGTTCAGTAACTGAAATAAATCTAAAATAAATCTAAAAAAAAAGCTACAAAAAAAGCTAAAACAATTAAGTATTGTGTTAGATTGCATTATAAAAACTCTGTTTGGTTCATTGCATATAAAGAGATTGAAGAGGAAACTGCTTTCACACCAAAAGCCTCAAATGAATGACCACAGTACAATTAGATGCATAGTAGAGGAAACGAGTCATGCTCCACACATCCGACTGGTCTAAATGGTCGATGTTTGGTCATTTAGCACTTGGTCGGGACAGATGGAAGGCCCTTCATGCTATATGTACATCATGTGAGCACTGATCTAGCATCCAAGTAATTCACATTTATTGGAACAGGAAAGGCAAACAGTGGTTCTGCCTTATTCTGAGAAGTGTGGTGCATGACCCCTGGAGCTTGCGTGGACCTTTGACTGTGCACTCCTGCCAGGCTGCATCAGCTCTGCGCCCAGCCAGTGAACCAGGCCCCCACCCTGCCTCTCAGGCCAGGGATAAAAATAAAGCCTGTTTCATTAACATCAGGAGGACTGTCTGTCATTCACAGAGATGAGCACTGCAGTTTGCCAACACACACAGATGGCCGAACACTGACCGAGAGACTTTGCCACGTCGTCGAGCTTCTCCTGGGAACGGCTGATGAGCATCATGGAGAACCCTCGTCGAGCAAGCTAAGAGAAAGAGAGAAAGAGAGATTGAATCATCTAATTTATGGCAGATAAACAATGCAAAGCATTTTTGCTAATAACTGCCATGAAAACTCCTAAAAGTGATCCATGTCAGCTTCTTATTTTCAAGGGTATCAACTGAATACTTTTCCTCAGAGAAGTAGAAATATTACAATAAAATGTTTGACAGACAATGAGCTTTTGACAAATGTAATATTTACAGCAAAACATTAAATGTGAATAGTAGAATATTTTAACCTATATGTAAAAACGACTATAAGTAAGCTAGAAGCAAGTTCGCAGCGCTCGTTGTGTTCCGTCTTCCGGTTTATATTTCCACAGCATGAAGGTAAGATCTTACGGATTTATGAATGAACCGCTCGTTTTAAAATATTCCCGGTATACTGACATTCGTTATGACATTCGCTTCAAACATCAGGAGCTTACAAAGCTCAGGATTACTTTCGTTAACTGTACCGCAAGTAAATCCACGTCATCAACTAATTACCTTTCGACAGCGATGCCATAGAAACACACAGAGCTATCGCAGAAACGAAAATTCAAACAAAATTCTAAAGATGGCTGCGCGTTTGTTTCTCTGGCGCATAAAGTCCATACACTCATTTTCAAAATATTTCCGTTTGAGAATTCTGAACAGCACGGCAACCGTGGCTCAACCAATGGCGTGTGTTTGGGGGTGGGGCTAGCTGTTTGTTTGACCAATGACACATGAGTCTATTGTCTGAGGGGAAACCTGTTTGAAAGCGGTCATGCTTTCACATTTTGCACAAATTGTGGATTACTCCAATTACTTTTAACTGTTACGAAAAAGCCAAAGACGAAGCTTGATGTTAGCTTTGGAGTGAGCAGTGACTTGAAAGAACTGTACGAGTTATGAGGTAACAGGTCTTTTTCCACCAGTAGTCTTCTAGTCACCCTCCTTCTCTTGGCCTCAGAGTGAAACCTCTGTCTTGTGATGAGTCACTGTGCTTTCCGTGGAGCGAAGAGATAAATAAGAGAAACCCTTACCTCCTCCGCATAGGATTTCCCAATCCCATCCGTGGCTCCCGTCACAACTAGAAAAAGTAGAAAGAAATAGACAGGATCAGTTTGCAGCAGCTCAATTACAATTTTTTTTTTACCAAAAACAAGCTTATTAAAAAGGGACATTCAGGGCAAACAGGTACTCAGATACACTAGGTTCAAATCAAAACAGCCTTACACTTGCTAAACTTCCAACTTTATGGATGTCAACACTTCCTATATTTGAGCTTCATATGCAAGATTGTTCAAAGTATCCATTTGTAGGTTGATTTCCCTGAAAAGTGCGAGCACCGACTGTGGCATTTTCAAAACAATTCTTTGACGTTAAAATACTCAAATATTAGCTTGATATATAAAAGCCAACTATTGGCCATTTCTAAGTTGACATCAAAAAGTGTACACACCGAAGACAACAAAACATTACTCAGTTGTTACTATACTAACACTAATACTAACAAACCCAACACGATAACACTGGGTCAACCAATGGCGTGGGTTTGGGGCGTCCAGACAGCAACAGTGTCGGCCCAGATGCGGCCCACATCTGGTACGCGGGGCATCCACATGTACAAGATGTGGCTCGGATCTGGGCCGACACCATGTTGCTGTCTGGGGAGCTATCTGTTTGACCAATGGCAGACAAGAACAGCGTTCAGGAAACTGGTTGCTTTTGTTGTTGCCTTTAATTAGATCTTATCAAAAATGTTAAAATGCTTTCTCATATCACAGCTTGATATAAAAAACCACCAAGAAAGCCATTTGATTTTCTCAAAAAGTATAAACACTGTGACTCTAAAGCACTTTCAAAACATTTGTCATTTCACAATTCCGACCGACAACACTGCCTCAACCAATCAATGAGTGGGGGGCGGGGCAATCTGTGCAATATATATATATATATATATATACACACACACAGATGTTTGAAAACGGTCATATTTGACATTCCATTTAGTGATGCTAGCAGCACCGAAATGACACCCTTCACATTTACAATTATGCATTAAAAGCCTGCAAAATGAAATAATTCTAATATAACTAGGACCATCTCAATTTCCCATAATGCTCTTGTTTTACAAAACACACATGGAAACACAAAAAGCAAGCAATAAGACAAAATGTGTGATGCTGATCAAAGTGTGGCATGGGCAGTGGTCATTGGCAAGAGCAGGGCTGTGGGGGAGAGAATGGGGGGTTATGACGTCTGTAGAGCACGACAGCACAGGAGGGGTGAGGAGGGATCCTGGGGGCTGCTAAAAATAGAAACCAGAGGGAGACTGCGCAAAGTCAGATGTGGGTAGAAAGTGAGAGAGCACGACAACGGGAGAGAGCACTGGATCGAAAGAGAGAAGGAACAAAAGAAGGTGATTCACAAGCTCCTTTTCAAATTCATCCCAAGAATGAAGCATCCTCGTGTTGGTCTCAATGGGACAAATTACATTAAAGAGATAGTTCAGCCCAAAATGAAATTTGTCATCATTTACTCACCATCATGTTGTTTCCAACCCGCCTGGTTTTCTTGTGTGGAACATAAAAGATGATAATATGAGTAATGTCTTTTTTTTTTTTTACCCATACAATGGAGGTCAATGGGCACCAAAACTGGTTGGTTATTAACATTCTTCAAAATTTGCAGAAGTAAGTAATTCAGGTTTCGAACAACATGAGGGTGAGTATGAAGATTTTCATTTTTTGAACAATGGCAAGAGCTTGCGAGGATATGGCTGAAGAAATTTAAAAAGTCAGAACAAATAGTAAATACACTAGAACACGTCAAACACGGAGTGAGGAGCGCTTGGGGACAATTCCTAGAATTCCACGCAATGAATGGGTCAGACACGAAGGTGGCGAGCACATGCTCGGCCACACTGTAAAAAATATGTACACAAAAATGTACACAAAATCCAAGACTAATCAACATATAGATATACAGGGACCATTCGGAGGATAATTTAATGCAGAAGACAGATCATAAACAGACTGCTGCCCATCAAAACCCAAGTCTAAAGGTTTCAAAAGTTTTTGCAGCGATGCCATAGAACACCATTTTTGATTTCCCAATGAGCCTTTCAGTGAACAGTTAATGATAAATAAATAAATTCTTAGTTTGAAGAACATTTTAATAATCTAAAAACCCCTTTCCACTTTAAAGAACTTTTCTTTTATTGGCATCAATGGTTATATGAAGAACCTGAGAGTGTAGCGTGAACAGCATTAGCAAGATGCTACACAAAAGCATGACACAAATGATTAAAAACAGGCCCAGAAGCAGCTCCCTTTGCAAGAGAGATGGCACGAGCAGTCGTGCTCAGGTACATTCACGAACAGTACGTTCAGAAATACGGAGGCGCACAGGCGCACTGGCCCTCCTCCGACTCTGGAATATAGAGCTAAAAAAAGCAGCCGAGTGAGTAAAAATAGCTGCCTCGTCTGGAACAGCCGCAGCACTTGAATACCAACAAGATGCTGCCCGCTCACCCTCAAACTCTCTCTCTCTGCATCCCCCAGCAACCCAGCTTATGTAGAGCCTTCGGTATAAAAAAAAAAAAGCAAAAGCTGACCGGCTCTCATGGAACAGAGATTTTATGCTTGCAGCAGAGCGGAGGACAATCGTGAACGAAAACCATCCTTAAAGGGATAGTTCACCCAAAAATGAAAATTGTCATTTACCCACCCTCATGTTGTTCAAAACCTGTATGAGATTCTTTCTTCTGTTGAACACAAAAGATGACATTTTAAAGAATGTTGTGAACCAGACAGTTGACGGCACCCATTGACTTCCACAGTATTTGTTTTTCCATCTGGTTATACCAACATTCTTTAAAATAACATTGTGTTCAACAGATGAAAAACTCATACAGGTTTGGAACAACTTTAGGGTTGAGTAATGAAAAACTTAATTTTTAGGTGACCTATACTTTTAAAAAACAGGGGGGGGGGGCATCAGAAGCTAGTGTAGCTCAATTAAAATGAGGGATGAGGGGGGATTCTGCCATCCACATTCAGACCGCTACTGTATGCAATCTGTCGCATCACTCTCTCTCTCTCTCTCTCTCTCTCTCAATGAATGAACTGTTCTCGTTCTTGGCTCGGTAGCACTGCAGAATGATAACACCTCCGCCCACTCCCCCCAAAGCAGCATCGGGCTTTAAATAGCACAAGCCAGTCACATGGCCAGCAGAAAAAAATAAACTACACACCAGAGCAGTTCAGCACCCAAAATAGCATCTATACTCGGATAAAGGTGGATTGAAGGGAAAAAAAACAATGTGGGGGTGAGAGGGTGCAATATCAGAAATAGCAGCAAAAAGCCACATGCGTACCAACACAAAAAGAAGTGAAAAATCAATAGTTCTCCTCGCCAAAAATTAATTAGAACAGAAAAGGGCAGAAATAATTCAAAACATCTAAACATAGACCTGGTATATTTTTGGACGCCAGTGCAGGGGTCGATGTTTTTTTCTAGGGAAGAGATGCATTAAATATGTGCAAACGTAACACGGAAAACTAATGTCAAAGTACTGTATGAAATTAGTGTCTTTAGGACACTAGGCATTTTTTGTAAGCTGCATCATGAGTGTGTGTGTGTAAATTGTTAACTGAGTGTCTTTTAAATTTTAGCCAAAGAGATCCAAATAAACGTCTGCTTCACGCTGCTCACAATAGCAGGTCGGAATGGGATGCGAATTGTAGGTGTAGTGTTAAACGCCAGATGGAAGATTTCCTTTTCCAGGAAATAAATAAATAAATGGAGCAGAGTCGTGACAGAAGAGAAAAAGGGAGGGTGGGGGTCCGCAGAGAGCGAACAAACAGATTCTGGAGGGGGGGAATGGGGTTCTTACTGAGGGGATGAGCAAGAGATGGAGGATGGAGATAGGCTTAGACAGAGAGAGGAGGAGAGAAGGGGGGTGCAATTTTACCCAGCATCCTCGGCTCCGGCACGTGGCAACAAGCGTGTTAGTCACATGAACGGCAGCGTTCTCTTTGAAGACCCCCACCTCTTCAAAGAACAGTCACACGCTGTCATCATTCACGCCGCACAAGGGCTCACACATTCACAAGTTGCGCAGCCGACATTCACTCACATGAATACGTTTCATTCACATTGTCCCATTTAGCTAGCATGAATGGGCTAATGTTGCTATTCACAAACTTGTGCATATACAGTAAGCAAGAAAAGAAACCTTGAGGATATTACTATAACAACTGAACTGAGAAAGGCCCGGATTTTAAACTGAAAAACCCTTGATTTGAATGTCAAAGCAAGTTTGTGTGACACAATCGCCCCCATCCCCATGAATGACTGCAGCTCTATTACATAACTGAGATTTTCGAACACATTCAGTGTTCTAAGGAAGGATGAAGTGAGATGGGGAAGGGTGAGGGGGGTGAAGCTCTAATTCTGGCTTCCTTGCACTGCTCGGTCAGCATCACAACTCAGCTGAGAGAAAGGCCAACCTACCTTGTTCACACAGTACACTGCACCAGTCATAGAAACCTAAAAATACTAAGACTCTTACAGTCCTTTATACACTGATGGACTGGAAGAGATTAAATATGGCTTCTTAATGTAATTTAGGTTGCTTGCATCTATGATAGATGGAAGTCTCTTCTTCGACATTTAAATGTCACGAATCCTGTCAAAAACAGGTCTGGGTCATATGTCACCTCTAAATTAAAAATAAGAAATCACATTTTGCTGCTTAAAGAAAATTAGGCATTTCTTGAAAATAAGGATAATAAATTGCCATTTTACTTTCTCAGTTCAGGTGGAATAATATACACTTTAAAAAAAAAATATATATATATATATATGGTTGGGTTTGTCCATAAACATGGGTTGAAACAGCCCAGCATTTTTTTTAAAACGCACACAATGTACATAAAATTAAATCTGACATTGTGGTAATATCTGTATTGCCTTTATATTGGGTTTAAATAGTTAAATTAAGATGAGGACAAGAATCACCAATGATTTTTTTTTTATTATTATTCTTTGTAATTTGGGGTAAAATGTTCATATTTGTAGTCATAATGCAAAATAAATCTTAATTGATCTAAAAATAAATGTTCTTTATGCAAAATATTAATTTTCTTATGATTTTGGGGCATGAGATTCAACTTTGGAAAGCATTAGATTAATATGTGATATTAGTAACTCAGATGCTTATTGTGTAAAAAAAAAAAAGTGACATCATAGATTTATTTTAAGCTTTAACTATTATTTTAATGTCTAAAACACATCTGGGATTCCTTATAAAAAAATTTGGTCTGGGTTTCCTCTAATATGTATAACTTAATAATACTGAGAGAAAGAGAGAGAAGCCAAAACTTACTAATAAAAATGGTCTTAAAAAAAAAAAAAACCTTCCAATCCTACAAGAACATCATGCACAATAACTAAACCACAGGCTTACAACCATGGCGGTGCAGTTCCCAAGAAAAACACCAGGAGTCTCCCGTAAGCATCTCAGGCCAGGAATGCCTTGTTTTTCTACAGGAACACCACAGGGCCTTTCTCATACATTCCACTTCATGACTCACCTTCTAGCTACTCAGCACATTAGATCTTCAAAAACACATCATTTTTGACATTTCGTGTCATCATACCGTCAACATACAAAGACAAGTCTGTAAGATGATGCACTTATCAAAAGAGGAGGCGGGGAGACCGCAAGCGTGTCAAAGAAGCATCAGTTACACTCAAACCGACGTGGACAGATTTTCGAGATCTGGAAGCGCACTCTTGCTCAATCTGACAAGACCTGTGCTTCTGGATTGACAGGGAGAGGAACTCGTTTTCCCCATCTCCACTTACCGCCACCTCTAAACCGCGCATGTTAATCTGAACGAGTCCGACTGGTACCCTGGTTTTTTTTTTTGGTTTCAGGGAGTGGCATTCATCAGCTTCATTTTTGACATCACACTAGCAGAAAGGAAATAGTTCAAAAAGTCACTGTAAAAGGGAGTGGTGTTGCCAAGTGAGCAAAGAGGTGATTCTTCTTACCATATAAACCTGCCGAGGAAATGTGCAGGTCGTATTTCACTCCAATCAAGAAAAACGAGAAATTAAAATGAAACTGAAGCCAATTTTTTTTTATTGTGGAATTTCCATGACATTAAAGCAGTTTGCCCCCACACTGTAAAACATATTTTCATGATTTGTCGTCACAATTTTTTTTTTCTTTTGCCAAAAAACTTTTTGCAGTTTTTGTCTAAAACATAACATACATTAAAAAAAAAAATCTCAGCTAACATAATATTTTGAGTTTCTGTTGATTAAACCAATCTCCTACATTGTATTAAACATTTTTTTAAATTTCAATTAACTCAATTATAAGGCAACCAGGTATCTTTAAGTTAAACCAACAATATATTTTACAGTGCAAAATCACAAGCAAACTAAATGTAATGCACAAAAAATATGTTATTTGAATTGTGAAACATGTTTACACCATGATAATGGGGAGTAAAGTTAAAGTAAAGTTAAAGTAAAATCAGTACATGAATTTAATAGTAACACTTCACAATAAGGTCTCATTCCTTAACATTAGTTAACTAACAATGAGCAATTCGGTACAGTATTTATTAATCTGTGTTAATGTTAGCTAATAAAAGTCTAGCTGTTCATTGTTTGTTCATGTTAGTTCACTGAGCTAACTATTAAAATCAAATGTTGTATTTAACATTAATGTATTAATAAATGTTAAAATTAACTAAGATTAATAGGCTAAATGCTGTCTTAATTAACAATTAAGTATTGTTAATTCTTAGTTTAACTAAAGTAGTTAACTAATGAAACCTTATTGTAAAGTGTTACCAATTTAATAAGAAAAGCAATGTCACAGTCCACAATTCATTGTTTCTATAAAGGCAAAATTTGTTATAATTGGTTTGAGTGTTATTTTACGATATTTTCTCACTTTTTCATGTTTATCGAAAATTGGCTCTAAATCCGGTAAGTTTGGTCACCTCCCTTTAACCTACATTCAACTGAAAACCACATTGCTCACAGGTGATGTCATTGGTTCTGCATATCGGTTATTAAACAGTTTAAACAATCAGTAAAAAAACAAAACAGGCTGACTTTTACACAAAATAAAAATTGCTTATTTTTGGAGGGAAGTAGCATAGGAACATTTTATTGACAGGTGAGAAAAACCCCAAAATCTAAAGGGTTGTAGGTTCAAAACTGCTGGCAAGTGGTACTTGAAAAATAAAGATATGAGCTAATGTCATTCGATAAAAAAAAATAAAAAATAAAAAAAAAACAATTTCGTCCAGAATCAGATTCAGCACATTCGCTCTGAATGTGCAATAACCGAATCGACCGATAGGGGCGTTGAGTGCTGGTGCACCTGCTGCCTAAATAGACAACATACTAGGCAGTGAAAGACTATGGCATGATGAACCATTTCAAAATCTTCCACAGTGTGATGAGTTTTGAAGTAACATTATTGAAAGTGCGATTACAGTGTCTGGAGAAAATCTTCGCGCTGAACCTCACGGCTTTTGTATATTTGAGCATCACCACAAGTCTCCCCTCACATGCCGCACGTGGTATGGACCCGCATTATAATTAAGATTGGCGTTTTAAACTGCGTCATGTTGCCAAAAACCAACCTCAGTGCCCTAGTGAGGGGATGAAGAAGACAAATGCTGCCAAAAAAGACATCAAGTAGAAGACTAAACCCCATTTTACCCACGAAAGCAGTGTGGAAAAGAGCGTTTGTCGGGACAAACACTGGCACGCGCAGCCGGGAAAACTGGATAACTGGGTCAGGCCAGGCATAAACGATTGAGGAAAAACTAGAAATGAATAAAATAAATCTTGATTTTAGCGAAATATCTGGTTGAATATTAAGTATGCGTTTGAAATAAAATATAAGATTTAAAAACAATGTTGTGACTATAAACTCATCTAATTGGTGGTATTTGAACGAATATATTAAGAGCAAGCTTGTAAAAAAAAAAGTCAGACTGAAATACTTGAATGACTCATAGTGACATGCTTTCTGCGCATAATATATGAATGTATGGCGCCTCCATTGACCATACGCATAAAATACTAATACCTCAATTAGTCTGCTGATTCAATCTTTCCTTAAGGATTATAAATGTACGTGAGTGGTATTCATCCCTTCGTAAACGATCACAATAACGTGTTATATCAAATCTGATGCGCAAAAAAGTTACAATTATTAGTTCCCTCCCCCCAAATCCATAAAGTTGAGCTTTATTTAGTTTAAGGCTGCGCCAAATGCGCACTACATTTATCCCACCCATGTCCTGCTAGTTCAGGCGCTTATTCCCAAAGCATGTCGTTCAACTTACCTGCCCATTTTCCCAATTTGGGAGAGAGCAAATCCCCGTTTCCCAGCACCCATATCCTAAAGCCAGTGATGACCATGTACAACAGCCACAGAGCCAGCGAGGCCGTGGTGAGTGCGCCGACCCAGAAGATCGCTCTGACGGCAGGCTGTAGCGTCTCCACCACGGTAAACGACTCCATGTCTACGGCTGGCTGTGCGTGGTGGTGGATGACCTGCAAAATTAGTCGTTATGCACTGCTTTAAAAGCTTCAACGTGTGCGCCGCTTTATAAGCAGCTTGTGGCATCACACCCCTACAACTCCTCTAACATACTAGTCTATCCAGATTTAAGTGCACACCTCCCACATACTCCATCGCCGCCCATGCGAGCCCACGTCCATTGTTGATTGGTCGAAACTCGCGTCCGTCAATCGAAACTTACCGCTTATTGGCGACCGTGCGCGTCAATCACAAAGAGCCCATTCTCATTCATTCGGTTGCCTGTTTCAATGGGGCGGGACCAAAAACTATTCTGCGAGAGAAGCGATTGGACAAACATTACGGCAACCTTCATTCAAATAATTTCATTGGTTGTGTTTCAGAACTGTTTTTTCTGTTTCAGTCAGGGTTACGAAACCTCCAAACCCACGCGTCCAACGATCACCCCCCACACTGTTTTATGAATGAAGGTTGTTACTTATTGGCCACGAGGACTCATATTGTCCCGCCCCCGCTGAGCAGTCGCTACGATTCTATTGGTCGGCACGAACGCCAGTCACATTAATTCAGTCGCGCTGTCACACCCATGAGTCATACCCTGAGAAAAAAAGACTGGCATGCTTATTTGCTGCATTTTTCTTCGACAGGCACATGTATGACTCGACTTTTCCACTTTCTTGGTTCTCCGAGGCACGTAACAACGTTTGTGAATTAACTAAAATCCCTCAAATCCGCTTGTTTTCACAGTGCATTAGAGACAAAGGACACAAAATAAACGTTATTAATGTATTTTGAATATTGAAAAGTCATTGTATTAAGAATAAAAGTGTGAATATACATCCATAGGACACACACGAAGGCCTACATTACATTACACAAGCAAAACTACAAATGCTGCAGTCAGAACCCATTATAATGATCCGCATCATATGATATTAGTTTACCTTGTGCAAATGTATTGATCTCTGTAGTTGAGGATGAACAATTAACATCGATCTATCTATCTATGGATTTCTATCTATCCATCTATCCATCTATCCATCCATCCATCCATCTATCTATCTATCTATCTATCTATCTATCTATCTATCTATCTATCTATCTATCTATCTATCTATCTATCTATCTATCTATCTATCTATCTATCTATCTATCTATCTATCTATCTATCTATCTATCTATCTATCTATCTATCTATCTATCTATCTATCTATCTAATCAGCAAAATAAGTTGTAATGCATTTTCCACCAGTTCTGTGTAGTAACAAGCGGCTAGGAAAAACGTGTTATTTTACACCGTAAAAAGCGTACAACCTAAGATGATTTGAACAGTGTTATTTGGGGAAACTGCTTATTTTATAATGTAGACACGCTTATTATTCATAATTCTCACGGTGAACATCCTCGCGCGTGAAACTACAATTACCCCACAGCAGCGCTGCACCAAAACATCGCGAGAACTCTGGGCGCGAGTAACGCGGAAGAGAGGATGGTTATGTAAACACATAGGCACGTAGTAGGTATGCAGCTGAGCAACCTGTGAAAATACAACGTAAACTGTTGTGAAACACATTTTTAATCGACTCACACAAGCATGCAGATATGAAAGCGATACCCGAGTGTTGTACGCGGTGAAACACGCGTTTGGCTCTTTGCTTGTGTCTAGCTTGTCAGGTTGACATTCAGTCAGACTAACACACAGACTGGACCACTCAAACACATGCATCCATGCCTACTGTCGCCATTCGGTTCAATCACGACCCGAAACTTAACCTAAAATATAAGCCCACCGAATCGTGCACAATATAAGTTACGCATGAAACATGTAAACCACATAGTGTTTAGTAGAAAAAAAGCATTGCCATCGTGGAGAAAAACATTTTAATGTCAGTATTTTTTGTATGAGGCTCTGGCTGTGGAAACCCCCCTCTCTGTGTATTGCCCTCACGCTACTTTTAGCCTTTTTATATATGAAAGGCTCATACACGAAAGGTTTCAATATGTCAGTTTTGCAGATTTTCCCCACACTTTTAAGTATAAAAATAAGTAAACAGACTCTAAAATAACGCCAAACATTTTATTTGCACTGACATGGGACAGAGAATACAGACTGATTACAAAACAACTTCGTCACGTCAACAACAAACTTCCAGCTTTTTGATTTTGCAATATGCAATCACTTTAATCACACCATACGTACAGCTTATTTCATGTAATAAAACGCTAAACAATTAGTCAAATAGTTAATTCAGCATATGTTATCTAAGCGCACTATATAGAAATTATATACAAAAACATAGGAGTGCAAAACTCGTTAACGTCGTCCAGCAACCACATGTAATTCTTCAGACACGTAGGGTTGCATGATACACAAAAACAGCAAGGGAGAAACAAGTAGTACAATTATAAAGCAATAAAAATATAAAACACAAAGCACAAATAATCTGATAGAGCACTGCCACTGTTATTTTTTGTTTTTATTATACTACAATGGATATAATATAATACTTTGATAAATTATGCAAAATTGAGATATTTTTACTTTAATATAATTTGCTTACAAACCTTAAAACACAATGTTCGACATTACCTCACACACACACACACACACACACACACACACACGTTTCCTCTCAGCCTTTCACGTAACACATTATATATTCCTGCTTTCCGTCCTCGGCACTCACAGACACCACAGACATCTTAAGATGAACTCGACGCCTTCTAACTTTATTTATTTTTTATTCAAACATATTTGCTTCTACCTTTTTCTGCACTACCCAGGCCCTCTGACCCTTTGACAATTCAAACAAAATAATTTTTTCATATTAATTGTGCTCAAAATGGTCCATAAATACTAGTTATGAAACAGTATTACATATATATAGACGATATAATAAACTAATCTATGGAAAGAACGTATAAAAACAGCGTAATGGTTATAAGCTCACTTGGGCCGTGTGAGTGATACGTCAGCAGCAGCAGCAGCGCATTTCAGCACCACGTGCAGTGGACAGCTCCGACACCTCATTCAACTGTCTGCATCTTCAACAATTTGAACAAACTATAGGATCCCAGAAATATGCAACCCTCGCAATTATAAAGCACCACAAGCTAAAAAAAAAAACCCATCCGAGTGCTGCGCCTGTAATTGTCATACTCTTCTACAGACGCGGACGTTTAATGCGCTCACGTTCTTATTACCAGAGTCACAACAAATCCATTCAAGCTACATATAGACTATTATTTAATTAGCACAAATAAGATTAAATACGACTACGTTTCCCTCCGCCTCTTTGCGTATTAAAACAACACAAGCGCTCTCGTACGTTTCGTCTATAGTGTTCCTCACTTTGGTGAAGAGTTGCAACAAATGTATCTATATATGAATTTATGTGCAATTATACTTTTTTTAGTAGCTCGAACACTCTATACGTTATCATTTTCATATCCCATTAGGTCTCACGCAGCTCACACGTGACAGACGTCTGGATGTGACAACGTAAGCAAAGTCCAGCTCATTAATTAAAACCCAGATAGTTTACAGACAAATATAGCAAATACCTGACGGTGTTATTGTGTCCCTAAAAAGAAATTAACTTGCTGAATATCCATTAACAGGTGTAAAGCATTCTAACAGACGTTGGTTTGAAGTTGATCTTCTGGGCAGGATACAAAGTAAAGTTTTCCCAGATTTATCCTATGGGGGGGGGGATAAAATGCGTTTTAGTATTTTTTAAAAGATCACATCTTCTGAATCATGCATCATTTATGTATAATCTAAAAAAAAAAAGACTGATGGCATTAAATAAAATTAAAATATATATATAAAACATATATTTCATGTTTTTATCACCACTTCTGCTCATTCAGAAAATATAGTATTTTATCTATCAGTTTATAAGGTGAAAATCATACAAATCTCCTCTATAACATTTATTGAGAGGGAAGTTCATATACTGTCAGCTTGACACAGGCCACATTATCCTGGTTAAAAAAATACAGACACTGATAAAATGCCACATACCTTTTTTATTTTTCCCTCTCACATGTGAAAGTTCTGGATCAGACGATTAACCGTAGGACCTCATCACGATTTTATCACGACTGAGGCCTTTGCCATGCTAGACGGGTTTCGAAAGACAAAGCATGCAAAAACAGATCAAGAGTTATGATTATAGAACATTTACAGTAATATATATATTTGCTTAGGGTGTGTTCTTTAACAATACCTATTTTTCACACAAATTTGTCTGAGAAGCATGACATGCTGTGCACACACACACACACACACACACACACACACACACACACACACACACACACACACACACACACACACACACAGTCTAACGTCACATGCACATCCACATGTATCATGTCCACTTCCATCCTTGTGCATCATTTTTATTAAATTTCAAAACAACCTTTTCATATTGACCACAACTGTAGATACCAATTATTTAAAACAGACAACATCCTGTATTCCACATTAGTCCTGCTTTCTTAAACATCTAAAATTAATGTTGTGAAGAATAACAGCTGTAAACTTAAAGTTTGAGCATATCTGTATTTAAGATTCAAAATATATAGTGTTTAAAATTATTCAGGGTCATTTCATATTATAGAAAAAGCTGTAATTTAGCTAATTTACTAGTAAAGCAAACAACAACAAACCCTTAAATATAAGATGCATATTAAATATATTTACAAAACTGTACATTTAGACATAACGCATTTAAAAGAAAATATAATCTATCAAAATGTAGCTAAATTATTTTTAACAATGCATTCTGATGTGTTGTACTATAACTGCATGCCTTTGGCTCGTCTGCCCTGCCGTCTCTTTCTCAAAGCTCATGCATACGTTTCACAACCTCTCGGCCATGTGCTCACAAACACACAAACACACACACACACATACAGCCCTTTACATGTGTGCAGACAATTGAACGCAAGTATTTACACACACATCTGCACTTACACGCTCATATATGCTTGCATTTACACACAAGCGGTTTTAGGGCCTCTAAACAATCACATAAAGCCTTACAACATGAACACACACATCCCTGTACACTCTTACAGTGTGTAAATATCAGTACAATTGACAAAAACACACACACGTCCCTTTAGACACACACTCATTCATATTCACACAAAACATTTTGCACACACACACAGAGGCCTTGCGATAATGATACAAAGCTTTCTGATATACACTTACACACATTTTGTTCATAAGCAAATGTCACACACATACTGTCTGTAATAACGGTAAACATTAGCATGCTTTATATTCACTTACAAACACACACACACACACACACACACACACACACACACACACACACACACCTATTCATAAATATCTATGCATGTACTCCTACGTACGTACAAGGTTTTGCAAGCACACATGCACCTTAAAATAATACAAAGCTTTTTGACACACACTAACACATACACATTCCCGTACATTCATATTGATGTGCACACACTCACACACACTTGCTTCATCTGTCGTATTCTCAAACATTTTATATATATATATATATAAAATTGCATTGATTCACAATGCACCACTTTACAATGGTATACTTGAACATTTCACACACACCACAAGTTATACAAACACACACATACACATATGAATACTTTTATACACAAGATGTTTTACACACACCAACACATGCACACATTTCTCAAGCATTTTTGCTGATACACTGTCTAAACTGTCAAAATCACACACATCTAGCTCTACATTCTCTAACAAACGTACATATATTGTCACAAGACATTTTACACACACACACATCCACAATAAAATGCTATTAGAAATAATTCTGACACACACTAACACTCACACACATTCCCAGAGCATGTTGTGTGGGTATGCAAACATATGACACAAGCAACACATCTCACAGTTATATATGGCACTGGATACACACACACACACACACAGATTTGGCCTGAACAATGAAAATTTGCTCATGACAGTCATAAGAACAACGTCACTAAAGTTAAATGTGTTTCCTGAGACCCCCATGCTGAATACATACAGACTAGTTAAAAACTGACTAGGTACAATATATAGTATAAGTTACTAATTTCAAATCAAACACAGAATCATTATTCAAACAGTGTATATACATATGTGTGTGTGTAAAATTATAAATATAAATGTATATAAAATGGTCTGAGGTTACGTGCTTTTACGTCTAATGTTGTTATACATCAGTCGCATGGCTCTACATTTCATACAATCAAAAAACACACACAAAAAGTCCAAAAACAGGGAACATAACTATTTTAACCCTCTAAAAACTTGTGTGATGGCTTACAATGTTAAGGTGAAACTGAGTGACAGTGTTGATTAGTTCACTGGTTTCTACAACTTTCCATATGATTAGTATGAATCTAGTTTTAACTATGCCACTTGTCTTATTTTTAATAGAAGTTTTTGCATTACTAAAGATAAGCTTTTTAATACCAGATAAAACACATACTAAGTTTTTAATGTAAGTTAGTTGATGCATCATTAAAAACTATCTGTAATACCAAAACTTACATTCAGAATTGTTTGTATTGCATTCACTTTTAACTCATTTGTTCAGGCAACATTTTTGTGCAATGTCTATGTTTTTGATGCATCCATTCTGCATTACTGGTTTTAAGAGTTTGATAAAACTGATTAATACTTTTCAAATGTTCTTTAAAAAAAGACTAGCTGTAACTTTATCTAAACAGTATTCATTTTGGTCAGCAAGACTGCAATGATATAATAAGCGTCTCCCTCTGTACGTTGTTGTCTTTTTAAGTGCCGTTGGAGCCTGGACTTTCCTCACGTCACTATCAGACCTGACCTGTTACATCTATATTGCTTTTTTAACATTATATACATGATTAGCGACCACTTAAACACCTTATTTGGATCTTTAAATACATATAATAGGGATCATTCCTCTTTTGGAAGATATTCCAATCGGAGCAGACCACATAAACACGACTGATTGTGAGCATTGAAGGATTTGCTCACTTGATTTTTTACATAGAGAGAGTTATTCACATTTCTAACGGTGATTTTCAGACATCACACTCTCAAAAAGCTGAATTTTGCTTCTTTTCTTATTCTTAGGGTGTGAATGGATGTCAGAAAGAGCGTTTTTGTCATTATAACTATTATAACAAGTGCGGGACACTCCCATGCTTCCCTGTGGGTGTGTTTGGGTCTAAAAGGTGTCGGTTGATACCTCGTTTATTGGTCAACTCCCTCTTTTTCCTCCGACAACTTCCATTTCTGTCAGCCGTCCTTGTCCTTCCATGAGGAACGCAGTCGGTTCAGCTTCACAGCTCGCTTTTGCACAGATGTCTGGTCATCAGCCGTTTTTCTACAAATAAAAGACACAATTACCAAAGAAACCCTATAAAACATCCAGACATGATGCAGCCAAACACAAACACACACCCACACACACAGCATCTGCATTCTTTATCTGTGCTAAAATTGGTGATTCAATTAAATACTTAATAATTCATGTTTTTGTATTGTTTTAGTTTATTTTATAGTATTATATTTTTTTGTCTTTTTTTAGACTGCTCTGAATAAGTTCTAACATTGTAAAGCTATAATTTCTTCTCCATTACATTACAATCTTTACTTATTTCATCAAATTAATTCTTACACACTTTATTTCAACATACTTTATACAATCTTTATGATCAGCAATTAAATAATAAGATCAATTTCATCATAGTGAGATATCTTTTTAAAAAAATCATTTTTTTGTTCCATTTAGTGCTATTTGATAAGGTAACTGAAAATGTCAGATTTACATTTAAATGTATGTATTTTATCAAAAGAACCAATTTTAACCACATTTAAAATGAACTGACCATGTTTAAAAACATAGCTGAATTTAACTGAGAAATAACATGCATATCATTTTCATATAAATCATTTAATGCAGAGTAAATGCATGAACGGATATTTCTGCGGCAGTGAGGTCGTGATATGTTCTTATGACGGGACCACCCTCTTAGGTACAAGCGGACACTCCCCTTCCCTAAAAATTCCATCCGGAACTGACTCATCCCTCACACCTTCCCTGACTCATCCATGTATGTATAGAGGGAATGTTAGAAAAGAGGGAAAGAATGAACGGGGGGAGCACATATGCATATATTCCGCTTGTTAATCCATATGCGGCCATCATTTGATAAGTGTTATTTGTTGTTACGGGAGGCTAATGTTGGCATCATGTTCCTGTGGACTGATTAGAAACAATTTGTCATTTTGCAAACAATTTAGGAAAGTCACAGGATTCTTGAGGTGGTAAAAAAGGCTTTAGGTGTTATTTAGTGTCACCATAGCATGATGAAATGTCCGAGAGGAGATTAAATAACATGTCTTTGACACAATATGTCAAAGACCGGCAATAATATGTTGAAAGAGACCAGAGGGAATGAGCTGAGGGAAAAAAAGAGGGTAAAAACAGTGAACAACATAAAAAAACCCCTCTTTGTTACATTAAAAGCTTGTTTCTCTTGTTTCATGCTTTTAAATTCTTTTTTAGCCTGATTTAGATTGTGGTTATTAATAGTTAAACATTAATATGTGAGTGTTAAAAAGAAATTAAAAACCCTCTTTAAATAGTATTAAGTCGAGAAGGAAAAACATTTGTTTACATTTGTTTAGAAAAAAACAAACACTCGTTTAAACTCACTATAAATCTAACACTGCACAATAGGGACTTTTACTGAGACGTGCATCTTTAATAAGATAAAACTGACTGGGTGAGAATACCGGGTGACGTCTTTTGCACACCCAGTTAATCGATCAATAAACGTATAGCTTATTTATAAAAATTTTTTAAATCACTCCAAAGACATGCAGTTGTTTGAATTCATTTTTGAAAGGGAGAGACGTATAGCCGTGAGTGGGGGAATAATCTGAAAGTATCTAAAATCTCAGACTACAGGTATGAAAAAACTATTTTTATATATATATATATATATGATATTATGACAAAACTATTTGTTAGATTTCTTTTTAAAGAGGTTAAGTCTTCAAATTAAATACATTGCTAAATGAAAATATCCCATTGTAGCCAGTGTTGGGTCCCTGTCCTCACTTAAATTATAATATAATGTCAGTAGAATATGACTCATATATACAGAAAAGGAACAAAATAGTATTTATGATATTAGAGTAAAGTAATCTGTATTAAAACACTTTGTCTCACATTGTTTGTCAGCATCTCAACGTCGTGGAATTTCTTCTGGGAGGTTTTTAAAAGTTAATAACAGCTTAAAGTGTCACTATTGTGTCACTAATTCCTTAAAAAAAGACAAAGAAAAAAAAGTTTGGCTAATTTAGTCTTTTAGGGTCCTTCGTACCGTCCAGCCTGTGTTAATACTCTCCCTTACACTGTAGGTGATACATATTTTTATGATACACACAAATATTTTTTCCATTTAAAAAACAATGGACCAAAATCATCCTGGACTTACTGTAAACTAAACTGCAATCATCACTTAGCAGTACTGTCACAATACTGTTAGATCTCACACACTAAAATCTCTCAAACTAAAACTGTTGACGAGCCAATCCAAATATCAGATTTTCCACATACGTAGCTTCATTTTTTATATTTTGCAGCTCAACATATATCATATAACTTCAGTGGTCATTTCACTTAAGACTTGCAATACAAGTCAATAAAAGTAAAGGCATGCAGTGAAAGCTACTTTAGTGCAGACACAGAAAAAATATAATATTTTCACGTCCTTTTGCTTTTCTTAAAAAATATTAAAAAATATTAACTACCTTTTAAAAAATATCTATGCATACAGATAAATCAGTGTGTGTGTGTGTGTGTGTGTGTGTGTGTGTGTGTGTGTGTGTGTGTGTGTGTGTGTGAGAGAGAGAGAGACCCTGTGCCTATGCACATATCAAGTATATACCTGTGAGAATATGTTTGTATTCTTCCTAATTGTTATAGCAATAAATATTAAACGTGTATTTAACATAAATAGCCTACAACATACAAACCCGAGCAGTGATTCAATTCACTATAGAAAAAAAAATTCATGCCATATTTACCATCTGCAAGACCAATACCAAAGGTTAAATGCTTTTCTATCAAAAATTATACTTATACATTAAAAGAAAGAGACTTTCAGGTCGTTTCATTGCAAACAACCGGAGCACTTAAGACGTTAGGCCTGAAACCGTCGAATCCAACAGTTTCATGGGCGTAATAATAACAAAGAAAAAAACCTTCAACAGTTGAAACCTTGTAATATTGACAAACCCTATCCCTGCTGCAGCTTTAAACGGTTACTGACAAATAAGGACAAAAGCAGAGGCCACTCTCGCAAAGGACTGAAGCGGAAAGAATGAACTTACGAAGACGGTGACGTCACGACTTGGGAGCGTTCTGTGACACGAACCGTTCGTTTCACCTTCTGTTCTTGACATGATGGATCCCTCAAGTTTTGTCCTGCCCTGTGCACAAACACAAGAACCCAAAGTTGTACATAAATACTAGTGGGATCGTTTGAAAAGCGCAGTTTGGACATGAACGGCTTAATGTATACAACACATGTTTAGTGAGTTAAAAGAGTAGATAATGGGGCGAAAAATAAAGCTTGGAAAAGCCATTCGCATACATCGTGCCATTCATTTAACAAAAACACGTTTGGTTCACTTTTCAAGTTTACATACGCATAGATTCACTCACTGTAGAGTCTACTGTACTAAAGTGACGTAAATGTGCGTCACGAAAAGTTTCTTCATATTAATTAGACGGTACGAAAACCCTATAGGCCATTAAACACTGTGAGAAAAATCAAACTATCAAACTTTAAAGCTTAAGAATAACTGATGGCATTATGTTAGTTAAGGAAAGTTCACTGCACTTTTTGACCACTTGGAATTCAGTTACTGTGCAGAAAACTAGAGTTGAAATTACAGAAATTATTATAAGTGAAATGGATAGAAAAATATGTTTTTTATCATAAAAAGAAAACATTCTGATCGGCTAGAAGCTTTCCCCTGACGCTGTTTATACACCATTGTAATGTTTCTAACCCCATTTAATTATGAATTCCTGCAGTCAAACATGTCATAATGATACAAAATGATAAGGCCACCAATATCCGCGTTTCTTTCCATCCGAAAACCTGTAAATCCCCCTTCAGTCTTCGCTGCTCACCTGGCCTCGTTCGCATGAGCATCAAATTAATCATTTGGATCAAAAAACGTGTTCAAACTCAAAACGAAAACTTACATGATTGCATATTACATTCTAGCTAAAGTTTGAGCACAATGTTCTTGAAGTATGGACAACTTTTTCAAGACTGTATCGAAAATCTAGGGTCGAAGGCTACGTAATATGTTAAACTTCATAAAGTTAAACTTTTCAAATATTTATTAACCAATTTCAGGAGAACCTCGTCTTGACATCATGTTTTTATTGCTCTATTTATAAACAAAGCAATGCATCTCTGTTATAATGCAATAATGTGTTAGGAACACACACGGTTGAAATGGAGTTACTGTTAGTCTGACCTGAAGAAATTTGGGGTTGTCGTCACTAAGGGACTTTGGAGCCCTTTCCAAAATGCTGTAGCACATAATGGGGGCATTTGTATTTGCACTTCCTCTAGCATATATAGGACAGGGGACAGGTGAGGGTCACCGAAAACGGGAAATGACTTATGAGGCACTTGGGGGACCTGACTTCAAGACTGTAGTGACACGGATCGCGTCACTTCTCAGCTAGTGAGAATTTCTCAATGGACTGTGTCTGCATGGCATAAAACTTTATCACCCAGTGTGTCTTCATGTTATATCCTGAGTGTGCGTAGGTGTGTCATATTTCATCGAGGTGTCATATTTCCAAAATACTGTGTGTGTGTGTGTGTGTGTGTGTGTGTGTGTGTGTGTGTGCGCGCGCGCGTATCTCTGTGTATGTGTTTGTGTGTAAAAAAGGGAGAAAAGAAATAAAAGAAAAGAAAGCAAGGAGGTTGGGTGAAACCTTGTTGTCTTTGGGCACCTACGGTGACGTGTTCTCTTACACACACACTCTCACACACTCTCTCTCTCTCACACTCACACACACACTCTCTCACACACACACCATGACACTCTGTCAATGGGCTGATATTTTAAACCTGTGTAGAACTATAACTGCGTCCGGCAGGGTTTATACAGCTTACATGTTATTGCGAACAGGGTGGGGTCATTTCAACATTGTTTGGCTTCTAAGTGAATAGCACACTAACGAGATGGCCCCCTATCTCTCTCTCCCTCTCGCTCTCTCCCCCGAATGGACCACTGTGGTTTCCCACGTGCAAACTGGGAGACTCGTTGGTGGAACTGTGGTTTTGTTTGGGTGACTTTTTGTAATCGTATTAACGAGAGCAAATATTCTGGCAATGGAGACGCCAGATAACTCTCGACAGGGAGGGATTTTAGACTTTGGGGACGTAAGTGGGAGAGAAGTTCGGCTTTACATTTGAGCCGCAATACAGTGATGACATTTTTGAAAGAAAAAAAAAAGAACAAAGTATTTGTAGAAAATAAATACAATAATAATAATAATAATAATAATAAAAATGCAAGCATTTAATCCACGCAGCGTATGGAGCATCAATCGGTGAATGCGCCTTCCGCAAATGCTTTTTGGGGTAAGGGCTTCCCAGCTAGATACTTATGAACAGCAAGCCCAGACCGCAAAAAGATTCGCGAAAGACAAATCGCAGTCTGAAGTCCGTGACATCAAACAGTGACATCCAGGTGGCTTGTGCATGGCTCTGGTTTCCCAATCCTATTGTGTCCAGACATCGGGAAAAGCGAGACAGCGAAGCCCTTTTCCGTGGCTGAACTGTATCCAACTCATTCACATTCTACGAGCATGGGAAGCTTTGAGAGCAGCCAGCATCCAAATGCCTGTATTCTGCGTGCGAGCGCTGTCCGCGGTGCTGAATTCACTCCTTCCCAGTACTTTATTCTCGCTGGCTTTTCTCGTCGCTCGTGCCTATACCGACGTGCGCTGCTATAATTACATCTAAACAAAGACACACATATGACACAGCGACCATTTAGCTCATTTCTTTTTGCGTCGCCGTTTTGTTGCTACTATGAAATATATCCTCTGGTTCGTGATGCCGTTTAGTGGAGAGCCGAGCAGATGAAGCGCTCTTGGTGAGGAGAGAGCAGTCTGTAATCTGCTTGCAATAAATAGAGAGCAGCGAGAGTTCTTATTGGCGCAAACAAAAAATCGTCATCCACCAATCGGTTTCTTGCTTATATAGGGACCCCCCTTTTTGAAAAAAAAAGAGAAAGGAAGAAAGAAAGGGGAAACCAAATTGTATCCTCGTTGGCGCAAGTGACCAGAAATATTCCATGTAAGACAAGAACATTTAATGTTTTCTGTTTTTAAGCCGAATTCGTTCGCCAGGTCACGTTTCAAAATGTCTCTCACACACACACCACGTCGTGCATTCACGTCTGCAAGTGCATCGTCGTGTGTTCATTCAAAACAGAGATATACACATTAGGGTCATTTTCAAAACGGAGGCGTCCAAACATTTTGGAGGCGTCGGTTTTTTAACGTGCATGTAAAACAAAACACATCGCCAGCACGACGACAACAACAACACGACAGGCTTCTGACAGCAATTTCATTTCATGACCACAGAGAGTTCACTGGCTGATACCACTTAGTGAGGACACGGGGGTCTCTAAACTATCAGCAGAACATAAATTCTATACATTACAGTTGCATCACATCTGACATCACCTGCAGGCACAGCAAAAAAAAAAAAACAACAACAACAACAACAATGGTGCGTTATACTAAGCTATATTGGCACCACAAGAACTTTACACAAATATTCCACAACTTACAACAACAACATTTGGCAATCGCATCAACAGCAGTCACTTCCTCACCACTTAAGTGAAAAACATTAATAATGGCACGAAAACACCACACAAGGGGGTTCTCAGTGATCCCTCTGGCACATATTTTGGCCATACACTAATTCCAGCTGTGGAATGTGACTTCATTTCACTTACCCGTGAAGTTATTGCATCCACGCGATCATTTGTCAAATTTCACAAGAGCGTCTCTTCTTGGAACTATGCGAGAAATAATACGAAGTGGGAGGGTCACGATCTATATCTGGAACCCCCCCCCACCCCCCAACACACACACACACACACACACACACACATCCCTCCCCTCCCCAGTCTAAATTCATCCCGAACCAAGACTCCCCCCTCCTTTCCTCTTAATCACTGATATTCTTCTTGCGCCTTCGTGGTGCAAGGGGAGGTTGAAGTGGCTATAGGCAAAAGAGATATGGCTTGAGATGTAACAGGTGTAAAAAAAATAATAATAGTAATGATAATTTACAAAAAATCAAGCCCAAATGCCACCATTATTAGGATTTTATTTAGTGGTATCATCATTTGCGGACGTCTCCAGTCAGTCACGATTCTCCACCTTCTGTCTGCACCGCACAGCGACTGCATCTCCTGACGCAGCCAACGCGCACATATTACTCACTATAGCAGTCACGACTCGGATAAATCCGTGTTTCCACTAAAATTACAACGCCAGCATTGACTTAAGAAGATCTTGCTATGTCTGGGATAGGTGTAGAGAGCCACAGTGTCTTTGAAAAGGTCAAGGTAATGAGTTCTTTTTTCCTGCAAAAAATCCGCGGTCATTCCTGGACTCACTACGACTTTAAGCATTTAAGCGAACTCGCATGTAAATTTTGCAGGGGATATAACCCCTGAACAGTTTAAACCGTGTGCACGCTGGAGGGTTAAAATTAGACATTTATTAAGAGGTGCTTTGATTATAACAACAGTAACGTGATTTTTTTTTTTTTTTTTCGCAACTGAACAAATGGTGTTGGATGCAACGCGAACGCGTTAGTTTTTGGCACAAGATCAGTAGTATAGTCCACAGCAATAGAAAACAGTCGATTGCAGTACTGTATAATGAAAATGACGTGGGCGGAAGAGTAATCCATGTGAATCCGCCTATAGCTACACACAGTCTCGAGCAGATCTGGTGGCCAAGTGTTCAAACAACGCACGCGGGAACATTTGCGCACACAAAAACAAAAAGTCCTAAAACTTAAGTCGCATTTTGAGAATGTGTGCCTAATGGCATCCCTTTCACGGGTGGTGGCCAAAACAAGGGCTGACCATTTAGGGCGATTTTGGATGCACGGAACCCCTTGACGCCACACCAGGGTTTCCCTCGTCGGCTGTTGCTGGTGTTATTCCTTTTGGCGCGGCGTCTTCCACCTATATTTATTAGCCTATTTTCCTCTTCACATATTTTGAGAGATATGTCCCCTCACTCTTCTAGTGTTGTCGGTTTCCATTCACACTTTCAGCGAAGAGGCAAAAATTGACTCAACAGCGCCGTCAGACAAAGGAGTTTGGATTTGCTTTTTTTGCTTCACTTATTTACCATTCGCGAGGTTCCTGCTCTGAGTGAGGAGAGAGTGGTTTATTGCATTTCTAACAAGTGGATGAAAACAACAAGGCACCTGTTTGACAAGAGCACACAGTATGCATGAAACAAATGGTTGCACTCTGTTCGGTGGAGGGAATGGCACGTTACTCAATGCATGCAACAAATCGTGCAAAAAACAAACAAACATGTAATCGAACCAAAAATCGCCGTGAATGTGTACTTACCAGTGCAGCGAGCCCTTGCTGAAAGCAGGGAAAACACAGATATGAGTTTAAACCATCATAAGTGAGTATGTCACACAAAAACAAGCAAGATGAAAATCAAATACTGCCCTTGATACATATCTATCCCCAGCAACACGTCCAAGTTTTCTCAGAATCGCAGTCCTTTTTATACAAGTGATACACTCTTCCTATTTCTGGACCACGATCAAACACTGATGCTATTTTTAGCGCCCAGTAAGAAAAAAAACACACTCACAAAGACATCGCTCAGGAGCGTTACGTGGAGTGCATGTAATGTACATTAATTTTGCCTCTCCAACTCCATGCGAGGGCTCCGACTCGCCTCCGATGCATCGCTGCAGTGATTTTCTTTTTTTTTTTTTTTTCAAACGAACTGCTTCAGTGCCCTTCTATATGGGCTAAATATTTCTAACGTTCGCTTGAGAGTCTCTTTCTTAGAGTTGTTCCCGCTCTCCTCGTTCCTTTATGTCGCTCACCGTCCTCTTTATTATACGCGTCTTACGCGGTGTCTCCATGCAACTTTCGCTTGGAAACTCGGGACGGATTCGCTGCTCATAAAGAAGAAAACACACGCACGCACTCACGCACGCACTCACACAGAGACATACGCGGGCTCACGCGCACAAACAACCATAATCAGTTGCACTGCGAGCGGAATATGTTTTGTCTTGAGAGCAGTACACAAACGATGATAATTAAATCTTGCAGAATCTCTCTCTCTCTCTCTCTCTCTTTTTTAAAGGGCTGCGTCAGTTACTAGGCATTGACGTCACGTTTAGGTTTTCCCACTTCACAATCCCTGGCAATCCATGGCTGCTGATTACAACCGTCCCTGATGTGCTCGCAGACAGCCTAAAGCTAATGAAAATGTCTCGAAGCAAGCGAAAACGGGCTTAATAGGTGAGAGACGTAAAGTGTCCACTTTGCAAGTGACCACAGCTCCGGTTTTCGAGAGCGAAACCACTCCTTGCAGTCGCCTGGCGTCGTGGAAAAACTCACTTGCCAATGGATTCCGTGGCAGACACGCACCAGTAGCCTATATATGATGTTCAAGCATGTTAGTTGTCCCATTGGATGATTTGCACATGTTCTGTGTACATTGTTTAGGGAGATCACTAAGGGAGACGTGTGTAAAAAGTTGGGGTTGCTATAGGGTGGCACACGAGGAGTGCAATATTGGGGTCTAATAATATTTTCGATTTCAGCTTTAAGTCAATGCAATGTTACAAACGACCGTGCAACCCTGACAGAAAGACTATGACTCCTAAACCTGTCGAATTGCAAAGCACACCACTTAAAGTGAACGTGCAGAACACAAAGTAATTTTACCAGTGCGGTATAAACATACGGGAGGGGAATCAGACCATCTTGCCGCTTGGTGTCGCCAAACTCCATTCAAGAGCTGCTAAAACTAGTGGTAGTTCACTTTAAAACTGCTTTAAAAATCGCATTAAAATAGTTATTCGCTTTTGTGTGGTTATTTATTAAATTACTAGTTTAATTAACAAAATCAAATCGCTAAAGGCACGCGAAATCGATGGTTTTGCGACTCGGCCGTCGCTGTCTGTGGTGCTGAAACGATCGCATCAAGCTTTCTCAACAGACACGAACTTATAATAGACTACATTGCATGCACCTCAAGGTTGTTTATATTATATTAAACGCATGAAAACGGCACGACCCTTACCATTTCATCGCCCTGCCATGTTAGCTACAAGTGTATGAATGAATAGAAGCTCCTATTCATAAAACAGTGCGACGTCCTGATCCTACCTTCGCGACACACGGGATGTTCCGGAGTGTCGTCGGACTCCTGCTGCTAAAATTGGAGAATCGTGAATGAGCGGGCGGTGACGAGTTGTGTGTGGTGGGAACCGAAAATAGGTAAATATTTAGATCAAGGGCATAAATATAACATTTGTCATCATGCTTTCCTTAAAATAAATCTGTACTGCAAAGAGTGACATAAGTGGCGGCTTTGATCTGACAATGAAGCTGGACGTTTGCACCCTCCGCTAAATCTAAAAATACCTCGATTTCGGCTGTGTGGGCTTGATCTCGCTCAGAGCTTCTACTCATTGAACCCACCTTGCCAAATTTGACAGGGACAGCAGTCTCGAGTCTGTGGCTCCAAGAGTGAAAATAACAAACCTGCAAAAAATAGCAACAATTCAGGCGTTTTTTTTAAAATGTATATAATTATTTCATATATAATTAAATCTAATATATCATTTTATGATTATACAATTTAAATATACATTCATCAACAAATTGTAAATAAAATAAAAGACTAAAATAATAAGAAAAAACTGATCTGATTGGCAGCTGCCAGTCAATAGCAATTTGAGCACTTTAGAAAGTGCCACCAGTGGTGGTAATAAAAGTCTTGAGTGAAATTAAACTTTCAGCCTTAGCATTCACCCTTATATGCAAGATTTAACGGGGTTTCTCTTGCCGACCCAGAAACACCATGGTTTCTATAAGTGCATAGCACAAAATGCCAATAATTAACAGAATGTTGTGTTGAATGATCATAATTATGAACGTCAAGTTTTGCTTTGCTCAAATGTTTAATGTGATCTTTGACCATCGGTATCCTTGCATTTACCTGACCAAATATGAATGATTCAGTATTTACGGAGTCCAGAATTAAACTGGATGGACAAGGTCAGAAACAATACTCAGTGGCGTTTAAACGATGATCAATTGGTACGAAGGGGCCCAGAGTGTGCCAAGAAAATATCCATTACACCATTACACCACCAGCAGCCTGAACCTTTGATACAAGGCAGGATGGATATATGCTTTCATGTTGTTTACGCCAAATTCTGACCCTACCATCTGAATGTAGCAGCAGAAATCGAGACTCATCGGACGTTTTTCCAATCCTCTATTGTCCAATTTTGGTGAGCCCGTGTGAATTGTAGCCTCAGTTTCTGACAGGAAACAGGTGTCACCGGTGTGTCAATCCGCTTCAAGGTTCGACGTGTTGTGCTCAGAGATGCTCTTCTGCAGACCTCGGTTGTAACCAGTGGTTATTTGAGTTACTGTTGCCTTTCTATCAGCTCTAACCAGTCTGGTCATTCTCCTCTGACCTCTGGCATCAACAAGGCATTTTCGCCCACAGAACTGCCGCTCACTGGATATTTCCTCTTTTTCGGGCCATTCCCCTAGAGATGGTTGTGTGTGAAAATCCCAGTAGATCAGCAGTTTCTGAAATACTGGCAACAACAACCATGCCACATTCAAAGTCACTTAAATCACCTTTCTTCCCCATTGTGCTGCTCAGTTTGAACTTCACCAGATCTTGGCCATGCATGCCTAAATGCGTTGAGCTGCTGCCATGTGATTGGCTGATTAGATATTTGCGTTAGCGAGCGGTTGAACAGGTGTACCTAACAAAGTGGCCGGGTGAGTGTATATGCTGGGATGAACGCATCTCATCAATCTTTATTGTTGACAGACAAGTGCTCACATAGGAAGTCTTGGCCATAATCGTCCTCCAAGTCCCATTAATAACATAATCCAAAATATTTGCTTTGGCCTTTCGTCACATGTTTCTTTTTCCTTTGTTTGATGTCCCCACCCATCCCTATCTCCTCGGTTTGGTTCCACTACGACCAGAGACATGGATGTTCTAGGAAACAGACACTGCTCCCGGTGGTTTCTATTGGAGAGTTGAGAGGGGAATCAGAATTGATGAGGGTTTGTTTGAATTTCAAGCTCAGATTAAGAATCTCCGCCCTTATAGCCCTTTCTCTCTGTTTATTTTTCCATCTCTCCTGCCTAAATGATGTCAATGGAAGCCGAGCTATAGAGCTATTTATAGAATCTCCCCCCTCCCATCAGAATCACATGGTTCAGAGCCGAGGCACAATGACTACCTCAAGAGAAGAGTCTGCATGAATAGAGACGGTGAATATTTATGAACGGGCAAGCTGTCACATTATGTCCCTCCTGCGTAACATGTTAAGAATGTCATGTGCACGTTCTCACCATCCATAAAGTAAGCCGTCATTCATTTATTCATTAATTCATGCATTAACCCCTCTAGTAATCTATTAATTCATTCAAGAGTTAGTTGGGACCTGGACTTCCCAGATGCATTACAACATCAAATGGCAGAAGAACAATCAACAAACTAACTTGTGCATCCAAAACCCCGAGGGTCCAGCCTTGTTTGCTTCTCTCAGCTGCTGCTCGCATGATCATTCACGTTTCATCCAGCCCCTTGTCTCCATTCACATACATAGGCCTATTACATAACAAGAGAGAAAGGTATTAAAATGCATTTACGGTCAACATAACTTAGACCGGTGATTTGTGCAGGGTGAAGCGACATTGATGAGCAACAAGCCATCAGAGCAAGCAAAAGGCACATATTGATCTATGTTTCTACGGTTATAAGTTATTGAAGACATGTCGCATAGTCTATTTATAGCAGTATGTGTACAGCCACACGTGTGGAAAGCACTTCTTTCGGGTTCCTTTTTGACATGTTAACACTCACTGGTTGCTATATTTAGTAAGCCTGGCAGTGCTGTTACTATTCCAGGCATTGTACATGAGGGGGCGGATGGTTCTCTTTCATGAAAAAGAAGATAGCGTTCCTTTTCTTGCAGTTCTTCAGCCATACTTCTGTCGCGTGTGTTTGCAGGGTGCGACAACTCGTTTCCAACTTCCACTGCAGAACACTGGGAACAAATGAATATGTATGGCATTTAGTTAAATGCATCATAAAAAAATAAAAATAAAAAAAAGTATAGGGATGGATGGGCATCGTTAAGAAATGAACGATTCTGGTTATGATTCCGATTCACACTCGGATTTGTTTACTGTTCGGTTAACGGTCCTACTTTTGAAGCAGAGACAGAAAGGAGGAACATTTTGAGAAAAAAAAGCTATTTTTATTGCGTTTACTCACCCGTGTGTTCTGTTGCCCGATGATGAGATTATTTCGGATTTCAGAATTTTCAGAACAGACGTAAGAAAACCAGAAAGAAATTCTTGCAAAAGCTGCATTGACTTTTAAGAGGCGGCACAAATACAAACTATTAATTGGTTCTCAACATACAGCATGTTAAATAAAAAATGTGAACATGTAAAACATATTTCATTCATCTTTTGGAAATACCATACAACAGAACTGTTTAAAGTAGCTAGGCCTATATGATCAACTTTATGAACAACTGAACGACAAACACCCCTTTTCGTAAGGGTGTTTATCAGTCAAATTCACAGTAGCCTACTCATAAAAGAGTACACAAAAAGTAACCGGACGAGCTTCTTCTTCCGGCGAGATTCTGAAGTGTGCAAACAATGGATGTCCGATGAGGCCACAGGAAAAGATTTATGAGTGACAGTGAAGCAACACAACTGACGGTGGTAGGTCACATGACAATGACATCATGGCGAATATATAGTAGCATAACGTTACGTCCAGTTTTTACATTCATCCTACACACATTCTTCATACTATATAACATATTTCATTAGCGGGCGTGAAGCAATTACGTTTTAAAAATAAGTAGTGCTACCTATTCAAGAGAGTAGGCCTATGCGATTTCGGACGCAGCCAACGACACAATGATGGACACGGACACCATCATATTCGCACAAATCTCGCCGGAAGTAGTAGCTCATTTGGATACTTTTCGTCTAAGTACTGTTTGTATGAATTCGGACATACTAACGTTACTAGGCTCACATACTGTTTTTCGCCTACTATATTAACTACTTATAGAAGTAGGGATATTCGGACGCAGCGCGAGGATCCTAGTAGCCTACGCTGTTTACATTTACCGGAACTACAACGTCACGAAAATCAGTTGGTTTAGTTCCAGTTCTTTCTTATATAAGTTTTTAAAACACAACATCAGTGAACCTTGTGAAACCTCAGGTGACCTGTTAGGTAAGGGCATATGGTGTAAAGTGGCACATTTAATGCGTTGATTAGTCGACTTGTGGTGGTTTTCCACCCCATCCAATACAGCCAGTGCTGCCCCACCTGCTCACTGCAGTATCATGAACATTTTGTTTGATATCGTACGCTTGTTGTGCCAGCCTATTTGCCCACTTCATGATTGGTCCATCGATTTATCACGTCTTACAAAAATAGCCGATCACTACCAGACGCCTAATGTTGCATCCCATCTATGTTGGCGAGCTCGATTTTAATCGTTCCTTTAATCGGTCTTGTTAAACGACAAAGGCAAAGCACGTCTTTAACACGATCAGAATCATAAAGAGGTTTCTTATTCAGTCACTTCATCTCTTGCAGTGAGCGCGTGAGATGGCGCGTGAGGAGCTGAAGAGCTAGTGAGTGATTTGGGAAATACCTAGTCACGAGCGCGCCACGCTGTGTTTGAGTGGTCTGATAGCGCCACCTGGCGGTCAAGGGCTGAACTGTTGGAGCTTGGCGGACACAACTCGACAGATTTAACCCTCACAATCCAGTTTTGTTTGCTATACATTTCACATGACGCAGTTATGACATCCATTAATCATGTGAACTAATTTTCACATTTAGGTAGCTGTTTTATATTAAAATAAAGTTGCCTTTATGTGGTTTCTATGTAGGCCCACTTGTTTTTATTTTAAGTTAATGATATTGTCTATCCTTAAACTCTACACATACCACTAAATTTAACCATCTCACAAACCTTAGCATTTTTAGATTTTACACATTACTTTTCACTGACATAAGAGTATAATTTTATCTCAATTGTGAGATGAATGAATCCTATGCATATTGGTGTTAACTACAATATGCACAACACACAAAAAAACGATGGTATTAGGCATTGGATTAAAATCTGTGATTATATATATATATAAAGTATATATAAATTGTTAAACTGTTAAAACTCCCTCTCTAATATCTTAAATCGACCTTTTGAATGTAATGTGATTTTTTCTGTTCTAACCTGTAAACGTAGATGGCCATCTAGTGGTGTGATTCTTCCAGACTAACTACAGTTATGACCTGTGGTTAAATTGTGTAATATTCCTTAAATTCAAAGATTGCTAAGCTGAAAACACATGAAATATGGAGATTGCAACACACATAGACCAGTATGTATTACAGACATTAAACTCTGTAAGCCTAGATATGCTGTAGCTCAAACAATACAGTGCAATACCAAGAACATGTAATCCAAGTCCCTTTAGACTGATCTGCCAAATGCATAAATGTAAATAATACATTTAGGAGCAGTTTATCTCTTAAGCACATGAAAGTTGGTAGAGAATATGTGCATCCAAGATTAATGGCACCTTCGGACGAAATATGTCCCCCAATATTTATAAATGAACCTGCGAGAATCTGTTGAAAAATGCAAAAAGATTTTTAATGTGGGTGAAAAAACTAGTTTGAAATGAAAACGACCAGCTGCGATACATAAATGTCTGATCTGCTTAAATCAAAAACATTCAATATCTTCTACAATCTAAGCATGCACAATTTTTTAAAATTGAAAGTGAACTCTACGCAAGCAATATTCGAAAACGTTTGGTTGCTTAAATTATTTGTGTAATAGATTGACAAGACTAGGTATTCCTACTCTAAAAGGACAAGTTCCATGAAATATTTTACTTCTCTCTTGGGGAGGGGAATCTATATTTTAACTCAATATAATTAAGTTAACAAACAAACATCAGGTCACATGAGGCGTCATACAAACTTAAATATTTATGTCTTGAAAAAAAGAAAGATAGCATAAGATTTGACCCACACAAGTTTATGATAAAATTCAGAAGGATATTATTTTTACGTCTTACAAATTTGTGATTTTTGAACCAACAAAAGCTCGGAAAAATTAAAAAGTTAAAAAAAGATACAAAGGATGCATGTCACCATACAAAAACACTTAAAAATCAAATACACCTTGGCAGTCTTTTGCTCCACAATGATGATCCAGAAAGAAAAACAATCCACACATTTGTAACCAAAGGGATAACCACTGAAAAGAAGCTGTGTATGGATTTTCAAAAACACACCCAAGAAAAAAAAATAAAAAAACAATGTGGAGAGGAACAGAATGGATGGAGGTCTGTGAGACGCTGGAAGGGCGAGCGGGGAGAAACAGTGTCAACACAGCAGAGATATTGTTGTGTTGTGGTAATGCAGTTGCATGGGTATAGAAACATATGCAGTCCTCTTAATAAATCCGGCCTCGGCTTCTGTTCCCTCTTCCTCCGAAGCCCCGGCCTCTGCCGCCCCTGAAGCCTCCTCGTTGTTCTGAGGGCACAGATGACATCAGAGATCAGTTATACACACACACACACACAGTACTACTGCATAGGATTTGATTAGACACTCACCATATGTGAAGTTCCCAATGCTGGCACTGTATTTCCCGCTGGGCGGATTGTATATTTGCCGGGCGTCCCTCCTGGGCAAAGTTGTGGGAAGCTTCTTTGTTGTCGCTGTTGTCCCCATGTCTTCTCCAGAGTGCCTCTTCTGGCTGTAGGATATACAGAGATCATGGCAAAAACTTTAATAAGCAGACTAAACATGGTGATGTCTGGATGCCAAAGTTGATCCGTGAACGTACCCAATTGCCGCTGCCGCCCCCTCGCTCTTCTGCACCGGTTTCCAGGACAGAGTGACTGTGCTTTTATAGGATGGAGGGTTATGAAACAGATCCTAGTGAAGATAAGAGAAAACAAATAAGATCTTATGTTCAAAATTCTATATAAAAACGGCAAAGAAACGCAATAAGAATAATTCAATGTTACCTTGATTAAAACATTTATGTTGTTGGTGATCTTCAAAGCCACAACTTTGATTTTATTCTGTGAAGGAAAAACAAAAGAAGCAATTGAAAGTTATCATTTAGAGCTGCACAATTCTGGATAAATTGAGAATCATGATTTTTTTTTTTTTTCAAACAGAGATCCCAATTCTCCCACGATTCTGAACAGACAAACCAAACAAAACATGTAATTTACTAGAGCAGGGTTTCTGCAGGGTTTAGTCAGTCGAATTTAAGACTTAAGACCTTTTTATGACCATTATGATTTAAATTTATGACCTACACGAATTACGAAAAATAACTTCCTTTCAAAAGTTTTTTTTAATTGACTTTCAAAAAAAGTACTAAGTTTCATTATTTAAAGGTTCCATTTTCTTAAGAGTAACAAACTGAAGGCTCCCTTTTGCTAAATATCAACAACACAGGAACAACACTTAACAATATCACGATAATATATCAGTCAATATCGATAATTATCACGATAAATGTAAAATCTTTATTTCTTTCAAGTTTAAAGGCAGATTTTTGCTCCTAAAGTGAAAGTTGTAGAAACCAGAGCGTTACTTGTGGTTTTAAACTACTCTTTATTGTCAGAACATATCATGACAAAGTCAAACACGAGAACATTTCACAAATATGTAGGTAGAACATTCAAACATTTGTCATTTTTCCTTAACAAAATTAATATCTTTATTGGAAAATGTATTTCTTAGTTTCTGCATGTGCTAATGGGGGATATTGTTTCAAGTCTTGAATAAGGTTTGTGTTGCCTGAATTTGATGGCACGTATCTTCATGAAATGTATGAAAAACAGTATAGCCTAAATACTGTATTTATATTCATTAGTCATTTAATACATTGTCTAGATTAATAATATAATACAATTCAATATGTATATCCCACATTTCATGGTGCAGTTAATATACTAGGCTAACGTTACAGTAAATCCATGGTAAATGATGGGAATTTGTAGATGGAAAAGCTTTCTGACTGTATCGTTGCGCAGTGTTTCTCCTGTTCGTCAGCGCGGTTTCATCTGCCTTTAAACTGGTTTAAATCACTGAGACATTTGTGTTCTTCGCTGAACTCAAGCGCTTCGCACTGGATCTAGTGACCGAGGCCGATCAGAGTAAACGCGTCTGCTGCTCTAGTGAGCTCGCGCTGCCGTTTGGACTTTGAGCCGAGCGGATACACAGTCCGTGAGGCGCGCGCGGTTCAAATGAGTTTCGTTCCGCTTTTGGCGCATAAACATTATAGAACATTTATCGAACTCTTGATATCGTTTTATAAAGAAAAAATGATATCCCGATAATGAATGAATGAATGAGCATATCAATTTAAGACGTGGCTAAATGTAATTTATGACCTTGTATGGAAAATCCGGACGTTTTTATGACCTTTTTATGGCCTAAAATTCTTATTATTAAATTTAAGACGTTTTATGACTCGGCGGAAACCCTGTAGAGATTCTGACAAATTTTTTATTGCTGCAGTCTATTTCAAATAATTAATCTGTATGATTCAATGACAAACACAGGATAGTCAAGTGTTGCCACCTGGTGTATCAATTCAAGTGTATCAATTCTTCCAGTTATATGTATATTTTTTTAGTTGACCTAGTTGAACACCTAGTTGAATAAACGCCTCTTAAAATGAGCATGCGCAGGATGATTTCAAAATCTGGACATTTTCAGAGACAGGAGAAGAGATATTCTGATGATTACTGTGTACAGGATTTTTCAAACTCAACTCTTTACTACAAATAAAACCTGGTTATAGTTCAACGATGGTAACCACAAATCAACCATGGTTTTCCTAACCATAGCATTTGTAGTAAAACTGTAATACAAACGGTAATTAATCCACAAAACAAAAAACAAAACATGGTTAATACATTTTTCTATAATAAAACCATGATAAACTTTCGTAAGGGTGTTTATCAGTCAAATTCAGTTAAACATGTAAATTCAACATTTATGAAATATGATCAGTAGGAGAAAAACACTGTTAATGAGAAGACGAGCACTGGATTGCGTCAGGTTAGTTTGGAAATAAATCTATTTATTATTCAGAATGCACATTTAAAAAGGAAATATATTTATAGGAGGAACATTTCAGCTGGTTGAAGATTTAATGTAAACATCCTTAGTTTCAAAATGCGTAATTCTACTACACACGAATGTACTCCCACTTATTATTTTAAAAGAAGAGCCTTTATCCCATCGTATCAGTCTCACCCATGCTTTCCTCAACTCTTTTTGTGTCAGGAAATCGTGAAAACTGATGTAAGGGTGTCTGTTTAAAATTAGAGCAGTAACACCAGCTAGAGGATTCAGGCATTAGTTTTGATTGCGTTGCGATAGTACCGGAAGAAGCGATACACTGCTTCGCTTACTGGAAATAGGAAGTGTGATAAAGGTCTATTTGAAAGCGCCCTGTTACTTTCAAAAGTAAAAAAAGAATTGCTCTATTTTGATCGCTACTGCAGACATCAGTGTTAAACTATAAACTTTTATTCCAGTATTTCTGTGATATGAATATTTGTAACAAAAATAACGAAACTATGTGGTTGGAAACACTAAATTTGTTTCATACCTATACATGACAACTGCTCTCTCTGGTCAGCGGCAGTGTGAATGCAGATTTGAATGTTCAGGCGTGGTTTTGTCAAAGGTTTAATAGACACAGAGATCGCAGCCTTTAAACGGTTAATCGTGCAGCTCTATTCTCATGTGACTTCTTTCACTGTATTTTCCCAGTTTCTTTAAAACAACTTGGATTTGCCAAGTAGAATTTAATTTCTGCAGTGGTTTTATAAATCCTATGAAGCTTTAAATTATTTCTATTACTTTTACAGACCAAAGATCACTGCAAAAAGTGTGATGATATACCTCCTCTGTCTTCAGTGCATCTCCAGTCTTGCCTTGCAAAGCAACACGCAGTTGTCGAATATATACTTGCAGCCCCCGTGCAAAGTACTGTAACCTGTGAAATAAACAAAATAAATAATTAAATGCACTGTTGACCTGCCCTTCACAAAGAAGGTATATAATCAGGAGTGCACAAAACTGGTGCGCATGCGTGGTAAAAATAAGCGACGCGCATCAGAAAGCGTGGAGGGAAGCACTTGAGTACCAACATTTTTGGGGACAGGGACTAGTTTACTTACTGGAGTACGATTTTTCTCCATCTCTGGTCAGATAGCAATCATGATGATAAATATGTTTATTAATTATTAGGGGTCCACGGTTCGGCACGCATGTGATTCGTGGATTAACTGCCCAGTTTAACCATCATAGAGTGAAAGTTTATCATTTTGACGTGTTTTGTCTTGCCAATTTACACATTCAAATGATTTTAAACGCGGAAAAAGAGTCGAAAGAGGGAGGAGCGAAACGACAGCGCTTGAACACCGAAATTGATTCGTCTTTACTTGCGCTTGAACCGACACACACACAAAATGTCAAAATACCTGTCTCGTCAAGTATTCTCTCCGTTATGTCATAAGTGAAGAGTTGAGAAAGAAACCGGATGTGTGTCAGTATATTCGGTCCCTGCATGCGATCTTAAAGTGACAGCAGCCTAATATTCCTGCTGTTGTCTGTGTCATTAAAGGGGGGGTGAAATGCTATTTCATGCATAGTGAGTTTTTTACACTGTTAAAGAGTTGGATTCCCATGCTAAACATGGACAAAGTTTCGAAAATTAAGTTGTACGTTTGAGTATTTCTGTTCTCAAAATACTCCTTCCTGGTTGTCACAAGTTTCGGAAAGTTTTTTTCGAGTATGGGCGCGTATGACGTCAGATGCGCCGGAATTTCCTTATACGGTCCTAAGGGCACTTCTCTCGGAAGGTCGTGCGCGCAGCTGTAGAGCAATAGCCGTAACCTATGCCCATCAAAGCGCTGTGCATCGACTGCGCTCGAATATGTCACCAAAGAAGTGTGTTTTCAGTTGCCAATGCCAAGGCAAGACAACACTGCACAGATTCCCAAAGAATCAAGCGTTAAAGGGTTAGTTCACCCAAAAATGAAAATTCTGTCAGTAATTACTCACCCTCATGTTGTTCCAACCCCGTAAGACCTTCGTTCATCTTCGGAACACGAATTAAGATATTTTTGATTAAATCTGAGAGCTGGATCACTCTCCTCCATACTAGTCCATAGGCTTCTTCAGGGATTGAACTTGCCGGCCTCGAAAAGTTATTAAAGACATCGTTAAAATAGTCCAAGTGACTACAGTGGCTCAATCTTAAGTTTATCAAGCGACGAGAATACTTTTTGTGCGCAAAAACAAACAAAAATAACGACTTTATTTCCACTATTCATGTCCATTTCTTTGGGCCTCTAGTCAGTTTAACTAGTGTAATTGCGTAGAGCTACGTCACACGTAGGCTCACTATTGGCCGACGCTGGTCATGTGCATGATGCGTGTGACGTACAACAGAAGCTTACGCTATTACACTAGTGAACTGACTCGAGGCCCACAGAGAAGGAAATGAATAGTTGAAATAAAGTCGTTATTTTGGGGGGTTTTTGCGCACAAAAAGTATTCTCGTCGCTTGATAAACTTAAGATTGAGCCACTGTAGTCACTTGGACTATTTTAACGATGTCTTTAATAACTTTTCGAGGCCGGCAAGTTCAATCCCTGAAGAAGCCTATGGACTAGTATGGAGGAGTGATCCAGCTCTCAGATTTCATTAAAAATATCTTCATTTGTGTTCTGAATATGAAAGAAAGTCTTATGGGTTTGGAAGGACATGAAGGTGAGTAAATACTGACAGAATTTTCATTTTTGGGTGAACTAACCCTTTAAGGGACCAGTGGATGGAGTTTGTTTTTCCAGAACATCAACACAGTTGTGCAAGTGTTCTTGTTTGTTCCATGCATTTCGAGGATGATTTTTTTATAAACAAGGCCCAGTTCGAAGCCGGATTTGCTAATCGTTAAGTTCTCAAGGATGGTCCGGAGCAGTCCCAACACTAAAGGTTAACGGTCTTGCATTGGAACCGCAGGCGGTGAGTAGAACTGCTTCAAATATCTGTGTGTCTATCGGCGTGTAACTTAAGCACAGCTAGTAGGCTAAACAACACGATCACGAATAGTTAATGTATCTATGGAGCATGCGATGTATGTTGTGTTTGTTTAAATACATTTGTTTAGGTGGCTACTGTAGGTGTCTGTTTGTTTATTGTAAAACCAAATCATGTCTTCATAAACCACGAGTAGACACACAAATTAGGGATCGACCGATATGGATTTTTTAGTGCCGATACCGATACCGATTTTTTTCCCATCAGCCTTAGCCGATGACCGATACGGGCTGCCGATTTTCTTGAACCGATATTTGGAGCCGATACATTTTGCTCCCTCAATTTACATCATAAAAATGACATGATGTTAACAAATGTTACAGGTCTCAATTTAATAAAAGTAACATTTATTTAACGTAAAAAAATCAATATTTAACAAATAGTAAAAACATGTGAGGTAGAACAAGAACAAGTAGATAAACAATATTTAACAAATATTAAAAACATGAGGTAGAACAAAAAAAAGTTCACTGCTGAAAATAAATATTTAAGCATAAATAAAATAATTGCACTATTGCACACAGTAGCAACCAGCATAATAAAGTGCACACTGTACTTCATTTTAAAAGTAACAAACTATTTACTGCCATGGTTTAAATTTTTCTACATAAAATAAAATGAGCATGTCTAATATCACTGCGATGGCGAGGGAGACACACACCACACGCGTCCAAACCTCAGCCAGGTGGTCGCTGAATAAATCTCCCACAAAAAGCACGGAACAACGTTGGTATTACTTAATCCTATGACCTGTGTTCGTAACAGCTACCGTACGCATACTAGGGCTGTCAAAATTGCTCAAATGGCGTTTGTATATTCCCTCTAAAAAAACATTTGAACATATCGTCGTGCATTTGGTCAATGACGCGCATTACGTCAATAACAGGACAAATTAATACAAAGAGACATAACTACTAGTATTAAGCAGCTTATTTGAGTTTAAACATATTTGACAACGTATTACTACAAAAAAACGATTAAATCAACTAATGGCCAAGACCGCAGAGCTCACTCTGGCTCGCCCGGACTCGCAGTCTCTCTCTCTCTCTCTCTCTCTCTCTCTCTCTCTTAAATGAACAACAAACAAATGTTGAGTGCTGATCAAGAGTTTTGTGCAAGCAATTTAAGGTATATAGCAGGCTTCATTCAGTGATTGAAACAAATACATTAATTGAAGTTTCACAGTACATAGAACCGACACTGAGCGCTCCGAGCGAGCTGTGCTGTGGTAACGTTAGTCTGCTACCGCGGGCGTGTTTTTCCACATTCGAATATTAATTTTCACCTTCAAAATTCAGTTTTTTTTAAACTATTCGAATATATATTCGTATTTAGAATATTCATTGACAGCCCTAATGCATACTGAACGGATAGCCTACAGCTATTTGCAGCTCCCTAAATACAATGGCAAGCAAGCAGTTTTATAGACGAGTCATTCGCGTTTTCCATTTGGACCCACAAACTTGCTTAGCTATATAGTTGCAACCACATAACAGTTATAGAGCAACGTGTTTCCATTTTCAAAGTGTTTGACAATATTTCAGCAGTCAAACAGTTAAAAGATGCTTTGAAAGTTTAAAAGTTACCGTTATCTTGAAGCGCAGGTTGCACTCTGCTAGTGGGGGAGGGACAGTGCAGGGTCTGCACGTGAACTGCAGCGTCTCCAGCAGCACAGAGCTGCCTGTGGACGCCTGTCTATAAATAATGCCGGGAAAAAACTATCGGCGAACGCAGCAGCCGCGTATCGGCCGATTCCGATACACGTAAAAACCGCAAATATCGGCCCGATATATCGGCCGGCCGATATATCGGTCGATCACTAACACAAATGTTCTAAAACTTCGCGCGCTCGTGATTATTTAGCTCCACCCACACGGCATGCCTCCACCCGCTCAGCTTTTTCCGGAAAGACTCGGTACAGCCTATCTTTCTTTTATAAATATAATAAAACTAAAGACTTTTTGGAGATATGATGGATGCAATATTACTCTATAGGTACTCAAGATTAACATGAGATTGACGGAAACTGAGTGTTTCACCCCCCTTTAAAGTTAATAAAATAAAATAAAACATGATCATTCTCATCTACCATGTTGGAGAGAAAAGAAGATATCGAGGAGAGCAGTCAGTGATGACGACAGCTTGTAGGATAAGTGTGCCGTGTAAAGTGTGAATATCAAGCAGCGTCTCCAGGTGCTCCCTTGAGAACCAGACCAAAAAGGTTGTGCACCCCTGTATATAATTTAGTTGTTTAATAAAAAACAATAGCCAAATAATGGGGTCAGTAACTTTTTATATATTTTTTAAAATTAGTCTCTTCTGCTCAATAAGGCTGAATTTAAAAAAAAAAAAAAAAAAAAAAAAAAAAAAAAAACAGTAATACTGTGAAATGTTACAATTTAAAACCAACGATTTTCTATATGAATATATTTTAAAATGTAATTTATTCCTGTGATGGTAGCAGCATTAGTCTAGTCTTCAGTGTCACAGGATACTTCAGAAATCATTCTAAAATGCTTATTTGCTGCCAGTGGCGTAGGAACCGGGGGGGACGGGGGGGACATGTCCCCCTCAATATTGAAAAATGCTGCATGTGTCCCACCCAAAAATTAGCCTATACTGCAGGGACAAAAACTGTACATTTTGAACTTTTATTTTAAAAGTGCGACAAAGAAGATATTCGGTTTTGCCAGCAAGTCAAACCTTCCCATGTTTGCTATGTTTGAATAATCACCATTCGCCAATCACCAGCTTCATATTCCTCACTCGGTGCATCTGATTGGTAGAGAGAAGTTAACATTACACTAGGAACATATTGACTAAATTACCGGTGCGCACCAGCATTGAACTGGAATAAGACTCGACTTTGTATGAGGTAAATTAGTCTCAGTCAAGCGGTTGAAATTAGCAAGCTTTTTAAAATTGAATTATGGATACGAGGCATATGACGATTAAAGATGCATAAAGATGTTTATTTTATTACATTTTGTTTACTTGCGGCAGTAAGTTTCTCCCGAATTTACCAAGAAGTTAGCATTCCAACGCGTAATGCCGAGTTCTGTCTGTTTACTGAAGTCAGTCATGACCGGTATCGCTGTAAAGCTCCGAGTCTCCTGCACAACGCTATGTAACCCAAATTTGGACATTTCCTTCCTATCAGTAACCAATCGTGAATGTCCAAAGGGGGATTTAAAGCTAATGACAAAATCTCATTGTCTACTGCTGGTTTCTGCTAACGTGATTCGCTCAGACGCATCACGTGGTGTACTCTGCCAATGTTAATTCATTGAGTTACTGCAGTTGTAGGCCTTAATATGCCTGCCATGTTATTAAATAATCAGTTTTCATGAGCTTGAAATAAATATTATATATTATTACTAATAAGGGCCTGAGCATTTATTTTGTTTTTGAGAAAAATTTTTCCAATAGAAATGTATTAAATTCCCCTATTTAAATCTTTAAATGCTGTTTTCTTAAAATGAGTTTTTTGTCATTCTCCAGTACAAACATCTCCGCCTATGTAGCATCCATGTACACCAAACTTTCCGTTTATACACTTAGCAGTATTCTGAAGATATTCTGAAGATATTTTCTGAGGGATTTGTTAATAAATCATTCCTGGCCTGATTTATGTGACATTTAAATACATTTTTTTTAAATAGCTTTTTTAAGGCTATGCACAGTATGTTTTGAATTCCTAGGTAATGGAAGCATTTATCCTGAAATCCCTCTGAAATTATTGTTTCATCTTGTGTGTAAAAAAAAAAAGCTAAAAGGTTAGCTCCTTGTTACTTATTATATCACATACCTACCTTAGAGACCCTGCCTGTTTCCAAAGCCGTATGTGACTACGTTGTATTTTTAATTGTTTTGGGGTTACAAATCAAATATTTGCCTTGTAAAGTGCCACTCTCCTTTCTTTTTTAGGAGGGGCTTGTACACTTTTATGTTTCCCAACTCCAATATTTGTCTAATAATAAACAGAATGGATGATTTATTTGCTGTTTGTGATTCCATACGTTGTACACGTCACCATACTGTATGTTACTATTAGTGGTGAGATGGACATGATTCATAGTGGCCAATATGTCCCCCCCAATGTCAAAGTCATTCCTACGCCCTTGTTTGCTGCTCAAAAAACATTTATAATTATTGAAAACAGTTGTGCTGAATCATGTTTGTGGAAACTGGATACATTTTTTCTCAGAAATCATTGATGACTGGAAAATTCAAAATAACAGCATTTCTTTGAAATAGAAATGTTTTTATTGTCAATTTTGATCAATTGAATGTGTCCTCACTGAACAGAAGTATTAATTTATTTGCGCAGTATTGTGTGTACATATTAAAAAAGCATTGTCTTTGCTGTAAGCATCGAAATTGGTATTAAGAATCATGAAACTTTGTATTGGTACTAATGATTTTTCTTCATACTGTAACAATTCTAGTAATGATGCAAATGTTTCAAGATTTAAAATGTTTTCAGTAGCAACACATCCGTTGTCTTTCTGCAGAATAATGTGAGATCTGACCTGATCTTGAAGTCCTTCAGCTTCTCTGCACTGATTTTGTCGATGAGGAAGTCAGGTAGCTTTTTGCCCAGTTGGTGGAAGCTAAAGAGCAGACACTCCACGTAGCTGAATTGTAGTTTGGGCTCTTCATTCGCAGCGTTCTCTCCATTCTCATCCTCTGGTGGCAGGGGCATGAACTCCTGAAGGCATTAGGGGACAGAGAAAGGGAACAAAAACACAGAATAAGAGGATGTTTGATGACAAAGAGGTTGAAGTGGAAAACTTTCAAAATTTCTCTGAATTCAGGAGTTTAATGTATGCCTTTACCAGTAGCTTCTCAAAAAGCATATTGAGGTTGACCTCCAGTTTGTCCATGTCCCCACAATACGGACTCATCTCTGCTAACAACTTTAGTACCTACAAAGCAAAAATATTTTCTTTTCAAGCATTTATTTCTAGCATTCTAAAAGCGTCTCATTTCCCCCCCCATGTAAAATCGCTTTCATATCCAAGCTTAATATACAGAGATTATATTTAGGGTTCAGACAATTTCTGACCAATGATCCTTCTGTGATTTCCATCATGTGATACACACCTCAAGCTGGATGTCCAGTTCGGCTACAGGGCTGGTGAGCAGACTGAGGTTGGGCAGAACAAATTCACAGAAGTATGTCACAAAGCGAGTAGAATGCACATTTTTCTGGAGGAGACAAGGACAAAAAACAAAAGTCAATAATTGTGATTTGCACCATTACTAGTGAAATATATTTGTGGAAGACATGACCAAAACAAACACACAAAAAAATTAATCAAAAAGTTTGAAAAGAATGGAAAACATTAACAATAAAGCTATAAAACAATAAAAACATTAATAAAAAAAATTAGTTTGGTGAAATATTGAGGCCACACCATTTTTTTTTTTAACAAAAAATGCCCCTCATTAGTTTCAGATGCTGGACAATTTATTCAGGCTTCTGAACTTTTGCCAGAAACTGACAAATTCAATAGCAGATTATTGGAAAAACAAAACTATATAGATTGATCACATCCACCACGGTGTGATGCATGAGATATTTGAAGTGCTGACCGTTGCTGTGGTTTCACTCACAGAAAAGAGTGGCAAGGCCTGGCGTGTGCACTGTAAGAGCCGGTCGACGCTGTCAGCATCTGCAGGGTTTAGCGCCTGCTCCAGGAAGGCCTGCTCCACCACCAGCTCCACCAGCTGCTGCCGCCCGCTCACGGTCTGCATGCTCTTCAGCCCGGACAGGATACGCATCAGAAGCACAAACTCCTCCCCCGTCACATCCTCTAGCACCTAAGACAATGAGAGAGAGACAGGTCAAGTGTGAGGACGATCCAAGGCCAAAATAAACTTTGTTCATCACATCAAACTCATGTGGTGCAACCAATTTGACCTTTCTTATGACAAGGCAAGGTTAGTTCAGGTTGTAAAATGGACTCTCCAAAAACGTAATTTTTCTGAATTTATAATTCATGATATTTGGTTAAAAATACGACATCTAAAATTATATTTTGAAACATACACTATTATCCATTTCAAATAAATAGATAATAATGAGAACTATTTGAGCACCAAATCATTGTATTGATATGATTTCTGAAGGATCATGTGACACTGAAGACTGGAGTAATGATCCTTTGCATCACAGGAATAAATTACATTTTACAATTATCCAAATAGAAAAGCAATTTTGACATTTCACAATTACTATATTTTTGATCAAATAAATGCAGCCTTGGACAGCAGAAGAGACTTCTTTTTAAAAAGTTACAAATCTTACAGACCCTAAACTTTTGAGTAATGTATGGGTGGAAAATAAAAATCTGAATGGAGTGCTGGTACCTTTTTTGTCTCTATGAAGATGTAATCCTCAACCTCCTTTGTCATTGTGTCATCTGGCATCATTTTCAATTTAGTAGAGAGAAACTTAATCGCTCTCTCTCGAACAATATCTTCTCCCTGCAGGATCTGACTGAACAAGCCTCCCAGAGTTCCTTTAAAGAAAGACATCAGGGTAAAAGAGGACAACAACTTCACCTTCAACATACGACTATTAGCCATGAAAGACAAATTACAAAAACAATCAGTATTTTATATGCAGAATTAACAGAAACCACATTCTACACAGAGAGCATAACGGAAATAGATACCTTTTGCGTCAATTTTGAATATGGAGATCAAAGCTGTGTTAACTTGATTGAATTCAGCAGAATCATCTAGAAGAGATGACAAGAAATGACTTGGATCAAACAGCTGGAAAAACAGTATGTCATTCAGATGCAATAGTTTATGCACAAATGCAAGTACTTTATCTAAAAACCATGTTCTTAGTAAATGTGAGATCTCTGTAGGCTACCTGTCTGCAACAGCTGTGTGAGGATGTCTGCGACTCTGGGTAAATTCTCTCCTGATGCGAAACGGGGGAGCTCTTTGATAGCCTGCCTTCGGATCTGTGATCAGAAAAGAACAGCCAACAATGTAGAGATGTGTTTTCTGATATCACCACCCACAACATGCAAATCCCTGACAAGATGATGTACTCACGGATACATCCTCATCCTCACACAGATCGAGTTGTGCATTGATGGCTGCATCGGCCAGCTCTGGAAAACTGCTGAAAAATTTAGGAATGAACTGTGCGGCCAGTCGCTTCTCCTTTGCACCTCCTTTAACGCCGTCCAGAATGACCTGATAAGCATCTTTGTGCTGAAAAACAATACATAAAAATAAGTGACATTTAATAATATTGATTTGAAATATGAATGATATCGGTAACACTTAATAAGGTGTTAACATGAGTTAATGCATAAAATAACAACGAGCAATATATTTTTACCTCTTTTATTAAAGGATCCTACAATGTGATAGTAAATGTTTAGATTAACATTAACATTAACTAAGATTAATAAATGCAGTATAAGTCCTGTACATTGTTAGTTGATGTTAACTAATGTTAACAAAGAGTTACCATGATAATTGAAAAAAATACTAGCAATGTTTTTTTTAATGTATTTTAAGTTTAATAGGCCTACATATTTTAATACATGAAGCATTGAGTTACAGTATGATTAATAATACACAACCGGTCAATAATTAAGTTTTTAATGTTTACTTTTTGAGAAAAGTCTTTCTTATAATATTTTAAATATCGAGTCGATTTAAAATATTTGTTTTATTAGAAATTAGTTTGAAATGTAATATATTGCTGAGATCCCAATAATATTTGCTGTGATGAACAATTATTATTAACTGAGCACCAATTAAAATCGATTTAGCTTTGCCATCTTATGAATAAATTACTTTTTAAATATATTAAAATAGAAAATTGTTATTTTAATTTGTGATAACATTTCACAATGTTATAGTTTTTACTGTAATTTCAATCAAATAAATGAAGCCTAGGTGAACAAGGATCAAATAAAATTATTTATTGTAAAATATATAAATAAATAACATATATTCATTCCGAAAATTAACCATGGTTTTATAGCAAAAGTGTAGTAACCATGTTTTTTGGGGGGTGGATTACCATTTGTGTAACCAGTTTTACGACAAATACCATGGTTTAACTAAGGTTAGCCTAGCATAATTTTTTAGTTTTTAGTTTTATTTGTAGTGAAACGATGGTTAATCTTCGTAAGGGATATACATTCGATATTTCAAACATTTGCCCATTTCATCAGATGTAATGCTCCCTGAATAAGGACAAATTTGAATTTTTTTCCCCAGAATAAGAACAAGATTTGCATTATGTAAATTCACTCATCCTCCCTCTTGAAAGCCTATCCTACGCTGTTAATTATTCATCAGTGTTACAGTGCGCTGCACAGCGGAAACCCGAATTCACAAACACGCTACGCTCACAGCGTAACGTTAGCAATAGCCTTCCTTCAACGCGATAGCTTTCTCCTCAACAAACCTCAAAGAAACCAAAGTATTTCATCGGTTGCATACAGAATGAAAACTTCGTGGATGCACAGCAACCCTAAATGCTCGCAGATGAACTTGATAGCTTATTTACTCAAAAACACACAAACAACTATCGTAAGCTATTAGGGATAATGAGCTAGTAGTCCGAGGAGGCCTCGCAGACACACCAGTCTTTAATATTTAACAAAAATCTCACTCAAACGGAATATCTAAAGAGTATTGTTGCTATATCGAGCGACAGCACAGATATACGAGGCTTTGTTTACCGTGCTGAGATCCTCTTTTGCGTCGGCGAGGATGCCGTAGTTACGGTAGAGATCCTCCACTGTCGCCGCCATCAGCGTGTCCGACTTCACCGCGGGGTTCAATGGATTTCGGCAGTTCTGCTGCTCTCTCTGTGATACTATCGCTGTATCTGCTCGAGATGTGCTCAAACGCGTCACGGTATGAAAGCACAGATGTGATGTGGGCTGTGAGTGTGCTGTTGTTTTCACAGTAAACGTTGCTCTCGCGTGCAGTTCGACAGCTTGGGTTTGTTGCTCTGTGCGTGCGGCGGCGGGATGAACGTCACTTCCGGGCTTTTGGGACGTGTTTGAGAGCGCCATCTGCTGGATTGGGTGTCTGATGCCACAACCATAGATACTATGGAAGTCATGTCAATGTCAAGGGGGAACATCAACTGTTTGGTTACCCATATTCTTCAAAAATATCTTCTTTTGTATTCAGCAGAAGAAATAAATTCATACAAGTGTGAGTATGATCACAGAATTTTCATTTTAGGGTAAACTATCCCTTTAACATTCATACTATTGTCTAGCCCCATTGTACTCATTCTCTATGTGAAGTGCTAAATCTTTTTTTTTTTTTAAACAAATAGTGCTAAATTTGATCATGTTAGTATTGTCATGTGAGCTATAGGCTATAGTGTGAGTTGTCATTTCTCTGCCTTTCCCATTGTCTATGGATAGTAAAGTGGGTTACGCTTTACTTCACAGTACAGATCTGTGTATTCAGACACGAGGTGGGTGTCTGAGGCAAATTCTTGTCTCAAAGCAACAAAAAAAGTCACTTTTTTTAAGTAATCCATAAAGTTTAAAGAAAATAAATATTATTATTGACAAATTTATCCAAAAAGAATGCGTTGTCAAAATTTCATAGGTAATAAATACGGATAAATATGGATCATATTTACACTCTTTATGCATTCTTTTTTTCCCCCTCATCTTATCAATGTCATTTTCAAGAAATATGATTTTTTTTAAAGAATTCATGGAATAAGTAAATAACATGATTCTTCAAAAATCCTTCTAATATGATGATTTATTAATGTAATCTAATCTAAAATATTGCGATTGATCACAGAAAAAATGTGTGATTAATCTAGTTAAATTTTTTTTATGGATTGACAGCACACATGTATATATATATATATAACTACTGTATATCTATATACATGTGTGCTGTCAATCCATAAAATAAAAATGAACTAGATTAATCACACATTTAAAGTGGATCAAAACCTTTCATCAAAGTTATACATTAATTTTGAACAATACCCGTTCTTGTCTTAGGACAACCTTGCTGAACATTTTTGATCCACTTCAAATGTTGACTACTATATATATACATATATATATATATATATATAAAATATATCTCTACTCACAGCTGTTAAAAAGAACAGTAAGAAACAGAAACTAATTTATATTTATTGACTGTGAGCTGCAGTCCAGTAAAATTGCCAGAAGATGGCATCAAAGATCAGTAAATGCTTCTTTTTTATTCTTACATCCAGTAAAATCATGCCCTTTGGCAGCTCAATGTTCATATCTTCTTAATAGGAAAACCAGACAGAACTAATCACCTCAAATAAGATTACACTGAACTAAGACACAAGAGGAACTTCCTCTGTCAATCTGGGACCTTTTCACAAATCTGACACATCTGCAATACTTCTGTCGAAATGATATAGATCCACAACAAAAACATACCAACCGCTCTTACCTTCCCCAAGGTCAAATGTTCTTGATCCAAAAGGCTCTTTGGCAGGGCTCACGTGCTGAAACACTGCCACAAAGGCTTTCTGAGGCTAACAACATTGGAAAACAACACCTAAAGCTCCTTAACAGCTAATCTGCTAAAGGAACTCTGAAGCCGCAAAGAAACGATCACATGAACTAAATGTTCACTGAACAATCAAATGCCAAAATGAATTCAAAATCACTTTCTTCATTACATTTATTACTAGAAAATATATACATTATTTTACATCCACACGTGAATGCAATTGTTTTTAAATTACCATAATATTAAAATTCCATAAAACTATAACTATAACAAAAATATTCATAAAAAGACTGAAAAGCCCGTTTTTTTTTCATATCAGCATGTTTAGTTTCCACTACAAAGAGATGAGATCACTTTAGAAAGAGAAGGTAGAAGACGGGAACAAACGTTTATGATCTCAGTATGGTTTTTACTGTACCACTGTAAACCATGAGCTCACCAGGGCATATTTTCACACGTCTTTACCACCTCCACGGCAGAAAAAAAGTGTGACTCTCGGCGTGCTTTAGAAGAAAGGGCTGAACCGTTAACTTCTTCAACCAACCTCCACACAAAAGGCTAAACTGACAGGCCAAACAGTATTTAGCACACAAACCACTGCGTATTTCCATAGCAGTAGGCTTCATATTGTATTAAATGAACAGGTTCTAGCTTGTCTCAGTTATCATAACTTTAGAAGATTGCAGTGGGCGTTTTGTGTGTGTGAGAGAGAGAGAGAGAGAGAGAGAGAGAGAGAGAGAGAAAGAGAGAGAGAGAGAGAGAGCTTTCTAACTAGTTAAGCCACACTTCATCTCTGCAGTGCTTTGCCCTCGAAGGATTTCCACGCCACCTGGCCGGGAGTCAAAAAAGGCCGATTCGCTGTAGAAACTCTTAGGTGTCTTTTTGCTCTTGCTCGTCCTGACCTTGACTTTTTCTGAACACATCCTGTTTTTCATGGACAGGAGCTGGATGTCCGAATGCACATTGGCGACAGTGTGGCGTCGGACGCCGCCGGTCCTTTCCAAATAGGCTTCACCTTCGTGTTCGATTAGAGGTGCCAGGAAGGACTCGTGGGCAAAGTGTGTCACCATAATCTCGGGTTGAGCGGGGTGTGGGGTGTTAACCAGTCTCAAGCCTTCCAGATGATCCTCTGCGGGGGAAGCCATAATGACAGTGGTTAGATTCAACGCTGACTTCAACATGCAGAAATTAGACTAGGGTCAATGACGTAAAAAAGAAATCTAGTTTTACTAATGCACTTTTTGCTTTTGTTAGTGTTTATATGGGTTAAAAAAAAAAAACAACGTTTATATTTAATGACTTTTTATATTTAATGATAAAAATGTCATGCGGTGTCATTATGTCAGGATTATGCTCTGTTCAGTGTTTGTTCCTGTTATTCTAAGTTTGACCTAGTTTCGCCAGTGAGTTTGATGAATGATCCTGTTCACCTGTTGCCTATTTAATGCTCTCATTAGCTCTTTAGTTTGCTCTGTGTTTATAAGTCCTGTGTCTCCTCCCTTCCTTGTCCTGCCTCGTTGACTTTAGTGGATGTTTAGTCTGTTCCCTGAGTTTCTCCTGCCTGTCCCGTGAGTTTTTGAGTTTAAAGATTACTTGTGTTATACTCTCCTGCGTCGTGCAGGAGAATATAATATACACTACCATTATCAATAAAATAAAATTGATTACATGTGAGAGTAGAACGTTTTTAGATATATTTTTTAAGAGGTTTTTGGGTAGTTTCACCACGTGACATTTGTTATGAAATGCTTTGTCATAAAATTATCTTACATTTTTGAGACTTCTTGATCTTAACACTCTTAACACCTTTTTCTGCTGGTTACACCATATGACTTTAATCTGCTGGGCAAACTTTTTAAAATGATTATAATATTAATAAATAGTGAAGCAGTTTTGTGAAAATATTTTCCTCTAAGCAACAATACTTAAGGCTTTTTTTTTCATTATTATAATCAACACAGTTATACCACCTTGACATATTTTCCCTAAAAAAATCTTAATGAATTTTAATTCCAATTAAATGTTTTAATATTAGTTAACTACATTAGTTAACATGGACAAACAGCATTTATTAATCTTAGTTAATGTTAATTTCAACCTTTACTAATACATTTTTAAGATCAAATGTTGTATCTGTTAACATTAAAGCACTGTGAACATTTTTATTAATATTAACAATGGTTAATAAATGCTGTAAGAATATATTGCTTATAGTTAGTTCTGCAAGTTAATGCATTAACTAATGTTAACAAATAAGACCTCATTGTTAAGTGTTTCTTCAAAAACTACATTAAAAATTAAAAAACGTGCTCATCATAGCAATAGTGTGTATTCCGTTCATTGTATATATTAATTGCATTTTTGAATAAATTAATAGATCCAGAGTCAGACAAAAAAAAGTGCATCATGTCATTGACCCACAATGCAAAAGAAGATAAAGCATAAAATGAATGATCACCTGAAGAGGAATCGCTAGGGCTCGTGTAGAGGTAGTTACTCAGGTAAGGAGAAACAACCATGTCCACCAGTCTCTCCAGCCGGAAATACTCTCGTGTAGGTCCGTTAGGCTCATGAATGCCCTGAACATAATGAAAATATGAATCCAAAATAAAGACTGCTGGGAGATGAATAGTTAAATATCTGGGTTCAATCCCAAGAAAGCTGGCGAGTGGGAGTAATTCAGGAACGGATGATGCATCACCATTACACCCTTAAGCATGACACTGTATCCCTGTGGTACTCAGCCTTGTCCAGGAACAAAGCTGACAAATGTCTTTTGTATAGAGGAGCCTGATTTTAAAAATGAATGCTGGGTCAAGGTGCTTGGTATCTGGTCTGAGATTACACCAGCACAAAGCAGATATGAATATGTTCCCACACGGCCACTCAGGGAATATTCTCACAATGTTCCGCATTTATCATCATATCTCTGCCTCTTATGCTCACCTGTGTGTTAACAAAGGTTTGCATAACGTTTATGGACATAAACAGTGGTTGATTTTAATTCAAATGGATTTCAACTTTTTTTGTCATATAAAGCAGTGTTATTGTAGTATTATTTATATCTACTATTTTTTTTAAATATTTCTATTTAGCTTTAATTGATTTTTTTATTTCAGTTTTAGTAAGTTTAGTACTCCAACTGGAATTATTTATAATTATTATTATATTATTATTACAATTATTGTATATCAATTAGTTTGCCAAGGCAACATTTCAGTTATAGTTTTCATACTTATATTTTATCTTATTCTTTATTTCAGCTTTATTTAAAAAAAAAATTATAATACTTTTACTAACAATCCTGATATAATGTTCAGGATCGGATGTCTTCATCATTACTTTCGCTACTTTTGTTATATATAAATTACCTTGCCTGTAAATCTAAAAATATGAAAATAATCATAAAAATTTAATTAATTTTTTTTAGAATGATGATATTGAGTATAATAAACATAAACAATTTGAATATTTACGGTGTGAACATTACCGTATTTATATCTATTTTTTAACACAAATTATAACTGTCTCTCACTTGTCGCTTCATCTCAAGAACTTTTTTTCTCTCCAAATGTTACTGTGCAACAGTGTCAGTAAAGAACATAAGATGATATATGAGAGGAATGATGCATGAAAAAAACCCCAAAGTGTCCCAAACGACGCCCTATACACTTATACAATACAGTATGTACTTATCTGTAGTGTATGAATTTCATAAGGTTATTTTGTCATTCAACATCAGTCTGATAGCCCCTCCCCCTCGGCTATGTAATTAAAGCTCCGACAGTTGAGTGCACGAAGGGTCATTCCACAATTAGTTTTTTTGGTTGATTAAGTGCATCATCTGGATATTATTTAAAGTGTACTTTTTGAAATTTTCAGTGTGAACAAACTACTCACACTATTTATACTACAAAGCGTCATAGAATAGGCGAAATGGATGCACTTAAAGAAGAATTAAGGTAAATATATTTTGATATCAGATTATTTTTATTGTGCATCAAGCTGTAATTGTCAAATTATGCCAAACGTGTGAAAATATTATTTAAATTAGCTATAAAACTAGCCTTAGCAGGACAGAAAAGTCTGCTTAAAAATGTTCAAAATGTAATTTCCGTCACAAAATTTGAGATGTGGTGGAAATGTTCATGATGCTTCAAAAAACTTGGACATTATTAAAAGTGTCACAGATTTTCAACCCGCTTTGCATTGTAACAATATCAGTAATATATGTAAATGAACAATGTTTAACTTGTTGTCCGTGCAACACGTTTCAGTTCTTTCGGTTTTTCCCATCTGTTTGGCATAAAACACTGTGTTCGTGGTCATCCAGTTTGCAAATGTTGACTACAAACAGAGGATTTTCAGTTTTTCCATTGTAGTGTTCTCTCCGTATATACAACTCTTTAGCAGCCTTTAGCCTTTAGCTGGATCCTTCTCTGGAAACCGAACGTAACTCACTCCTGCTAAACGTTTACTCTTTGAATTCTTACACCTGGGAACAATACACGTCGACACCATTATAACTAAAAGTTAGCTAAGAAGCATTTCCTACTAAAGCATTTGACTCTGGTAAAAGTATCCATAGCAGTCTGCTGGGAGTATCATTGGACGGCAAAATTTGTCCTTAAAGTGTACAAATGAAATAAGCTATAGTGAGACCTCACCTGCAGGATCAGCAGCATCTGTGTGATTGGAGGAGGGTATGAGGAGCCCTGAAACATGTTCTCCAGAGGAAGCTTCAACAGAACCATGTTCCTGAAGCCTAGCAGAGCCATTTGCCTCACAGTCAACTCCTGACCCTACACACACACACACAGCCAAAAAACACCAGTCACCATAGAGTCGGTAACTTGACACTGACCTACTACTTTGAATGGTAGGTGAGATCATTTTAATACCTGCACGGGGTAGAAAATAGCTTGAAGAGTTGGCAGGATCTCTGTGAAAAACCTCACCCACATCTCAGACAGCGCTTGGAGCCGATTTTCATCTGGCCATGAGAAAGGAGAGAAGAATGCAGGGAGTCATTGAATTACACACGTCTGTATAAAACCTTATTAAAGCGCACGCTGGCCATGAAATGAGTAAGAAAATCTGGTTCGGCACTCACCGTTATGAAGCTGAATCTTCTCCAAAATATCCGTCAGACCCTTATTCAAGAGTTGATCCTGGATAATATGAGTGATGCAAGTACTTTAAAGCAATATTCTGGATTGATTACGAGTTAAGCTCAATTGACAGCATTTGTGGTATAATGTTGATAAGAACATTCGATTTTTCTTATAGTGAGGCACTTACAAAGGAAGTAAACGGAGCCAATTTGTAAGCATTAGAATACGCATCATATCAATAGGACAGCCATAAGAAATAAACAATTAAAAAAGTGTAGTCTAAAAAAATGCTTACTAACAGCCGTAACCCCTAAAACAACTGTAAAAATGGTGGATAACTCTTTACAATAAAGTTTTATTTGTCAACATTAGTAAACTACATTAATTAACAGGACTATGACCAATGAACAATACTTCTACAGCATTTATTATTCATAGTTAATGTTTATTTCAGCATTTAATAATATATTTAATAATATAAGTTGTATCTGTTAAAATTAGTGAACTTACATGAACAATTTTGTTAATTAATATTAAGAATAGCTGTAAAAAATATATTCACACACACACACATTTGTGATTTTAAATGCTACAAAAATTGGCCCGCTCACTTTCATTGTAAGTGCCTCACCGTAACTTCAATTTTTACGGTAACTTTTGAAACTCACTTCATAATGTCTTTAAGACTGAAATACATTTTACCTGAAAGTACTCTGTGATAAATGATCCCAACTCGGTCCTCAAAAGCCACCTATTAAAAAAGTGTAATAGCTTAGACGAGCCCTTATAATTTAAAGTACATTTTTACATTTTCTGAAGAAAATGTGAGTGATGCTGCCTGTACAAAACTCAACAGCACAATGCTAGGGTGTTGTGGGTGGTTGCTAAATGTTGATTGTTGTTTTTAGCGTGTTTCTATGTGGTTTCTAGTTTATTCTAGGTCATTGCCTACTTGCTCAATTCAAAAAAGTCAGATCATGACTTGATTAGAGATCAGAAACAGGGCTGCCAACTCTCACACTCCGTGTAAGACTCACAAAATTGACACCATTCTCACACTCTCATGCCACACGTCTATTTTTTCACACAGTGAAAAAACATTGCAGATCAAAGAATAGAAAACGAATGTATGAATATGATTTGATATGAAACTAAGTCTCAGCTTTCAAATTCTGCAAATTTTATTACGAAATTCAAATAATGCATATCGATAGAGCCGACACGTGAGCCGATCATCTCTTCCGCTTTACTACTAGTTACAGCATAAAATAAACATGAATGAACATCTGAAGGTGTTGTAAAATACAGTACAACTTACAGAAACGTATCATCATGACTAATGTAATCGCTCAGCGTTTCAACCGCGGAAAAAAGCCAATAAAACAGCTTGTAACGTTACATTTACCTCAGAAAAATGAACTCTAGAGAGGAGTATTATGCACAAAATGACGGTGGCCGAGAGAGCTCAACGCGCTGCAACTGAAGCAAACACATGCAAATAGAAAAACACGCTTGCAAATAGAAAAAAAAACACCTGCAAATTAAAAAAAAACATCAGTTTCACAACACACGTGTGCTCCAAATACAGAAACGCACTGCAAATAACACAGACCACAACGGAAATGTTTCCAGGGGAACCAAATAAGTGACGAACCCGGCTGGGACATGCTTATTGCTCGTGAGCTTCCCTATGCCCTACTCCCTTCAAAGGGCAGACGGCAGAGCCCTTAAAGACCCACTCCGATGAAAATAATGTTTTTCTAGGTGTTAACATGTTCTTGTGGCATTTTTCTGATGTTAGAGGACATATCTTGAGAAAAATCAGCTCAAAGTTGTATTTCTGAGTATTTCTACATTCAAATGGCTGTGAATCAGTAGCAGACGCTAAAATGCCGGCTAAAATAGACTGGAGTTGTGACGTAGTAACTCCACTGGGCGTCTCCACATGCGACGTCTTGCAGTGAAATAATGATCGGTGATCAGTGATAACTTTGATGAACTTCAGATAATAATAATTAACGTGTATATAATACTGTTGCCCCACCGGTATTTGGGATGTAAGCTAGCGGGAGAGACAGAGCTCTCAGCAACGGGCAGGGGGAGGGTCGTCTCCGTGCCAACGGCTCCGCCCACAACGCAGAGGCGAATTGCTAATGAGCTCCCAGAAGTCCCAGAATACGGCACAGGTTTTGTGATTTTGGCTAAAAATGGCATAATCATAATTTAAAAACCACTGGGAATGTTTAAAAAAAGCTCAAAATATGATCGGAGTGGGACTTTAAAGTGGGACTGTGGAGGGAGCAGGGCTCTAGTGTGCAGTTAGGCAGCCGTGTGGAACGCACTTGATTAAGGGAGCAACGAAAGACAACGTAATTCCTCATTATTTTCACCTGGGATGTTCCCATGACAACGCAGCACGGTGTCCATCAGCTGGTCTTACGACAGAAATATAATGCTGTTAACATAACAGATGCAAATACATTGTTATTTTTATTTTACAAAAAAGCTTTTAAAATATGCGTTATATATCTGTGTGTCTCAACTTTAAAATTTTGGACCCTGCATTACCTAACATTTCTTACGAAACTTTTCTTTATGAAAATGTAATGACATGAAACAATTTGTACAGTGTAACTGATGTATAGATAAATATCTTATGTTTTTCTTCTTTATCTTTTTTATTTATTTATTTTATTTTCCAGCTCATTGTTCTTTTCTCATTTGTATTCTGATGACATTGAACATATTGTTAATACATTGTGTACATTGTATACAAGTTGTATGTCATAAGTAATTATTTACATAAATGGGATGCTTATCCGAGTTTCACACATAGGCTATGCAAAATAGTTAATTTTACAACATTTTAAATCACATGATTTTAAACCTAAATTTGATAGATTAATAGCATGCCCTCAGCACCTCAATTTTTTTTTTTTTTTTTTATGTGTGTATATAGAACTTTTTTTTTTTTTTAAAGCCATTTTATTTTATTCAGGTCACATTTGCTGTTGAGTGGAAGCAAAAATGAATCAAGTAGCCTAATTGTCTTTGTAATTGTAAAGGTACAATACAATACAGTCTGTAAACATTTTAAAATACCAGTACACGTTCAAGGGAAAATGCAAAAATAATAACAGCATCAAGAAAATAAATCTTGTCAGATGTAAAAAAAAAAAAAGTGTTTGATATTTTGCCTGGTAAGAGTTCCTTCTTTAATGGATATAGCCTACTCATTTTTCCACAGTGATCTGTAGCCTACGGTTCCTCTTAATTTGCTGTTCAGTGTCTGCAATACATATGGTAGGCTATAAGTTTTCGCCACAGAGTGAGAAATAAAAAAGGTAACTTTTTATCTCACTATTCTGACTTTTTATCTCAGAATTGAAGTCGCAATTGCGAGTTATAAAGTCAGAATTGCGTGATATAAAGTCAGAATTGCGTGATATAAAGTCAGAATTGCGTGATATAAAGTCGCAATTGCGTGTTATTAAGTCAGAATTATGAGATATAAACTCGCAATTGCGAGGCTACTTGAAATTCTGGCTTTATAATACGCAAATTGGAGATATAGGCTAAAGTCAGAATTGCATGATATAAAGTCGCAATTGTGTTATAAAGTCAGAATTGTGAGAGAACTATTCTGAGGTAAAATTTGACTTTATAACTCGCAATTGTGAGTTTATATCTCACAATTCTAAGAAAATATATCAGAATTGGGAGATATAAAATCTTAATTATGTGTTATAAATTCAGAATTGCGAGAAATAAGTCAGAATTTCGACTTTATAATACCAATTGGGAGATATAAAGTCAGAATTGCATGATAAGTCGCAATTGCGTGTTATAGCCTAAAGTCAGAATTGTGAGATATTAAACTATTCTGAGGTTAGAAAAATAAGTCATTTTTTCCCTTAGAATTTATAATTCGCAATTGCGAGTTTATATGTCACAATTATGAGAAAAAATGTCAGAATTGGGAGACTTAAACTCCCAATTATGTAGGCCTATTATAAATTCAGAATTGCAAGAAAGAAAGTCAGAATTCTGACTTTATAGCACGCAATTCTGACTTTATAACATGCAATTGAGACTTACATCTTGCATACTGACTTTATTTCTCAGAATTGTGAGATATAAAGTCAGAACTGCGTTAAATAAACTCGCAATTGTGAGGAAAATGTCGCAATTATTTATTTTTAAATGTTTTATTCGGTGGCGGAAAAGCGCTTCCATCCTCAAGTGACCATTTATATTTAACTTTATTCTTCTTGGAAGATCACGTGCGATCGTTCACCAACTCTCTACTCTCTCTACACCTACTCTAACTAGAATCAATTCTTAATGCGCATATGAACGCCATCAGCGTTTATCACAGGTTCTTAAACATTATTAAAGCCAAAACAATCTCATTTACCTTAAATTATATGTTTATCTCTGCTTTGAAACAATCTACATTGTTAAAAGCGCTATAAGTTGACTTGACTTGACTAGTGCGCATGCGTCTATGACGTCACCAAAACACACCTCCATCCACTACGTATTGGACCATCCAGCTACGTCATCGTGCTACAGGCTGCAGTGAGGACCTCTTGGGTTCGTCACTTATTTGGTTCCCCTGGAAACATTTCCGTTGTGGTCTGTGTTATTTGCAGCGCGTTTCTGTATTTGGTGGTGTTGTGAGTATTTGGAGCACACGTGTGTTGTAAAACTGATGAAGATGTTTTCTTAATTTGTGGGTGGTTTTTTTTTTGCACGCGTTTTTTTCTATTTGCATGCGTTTTATTTTATTTGCATGTGTTTTCTTCAGTTGCAGCGCGTTGAGCTCTCTCGGCCACCGTACAAAATAGGCACTATATTACACATTCATTATACTTTTACATTATTATAAAAAGTGCCTTATTCAATAGTATAAAAATTTAATATTTTTAATCAATGATTGTATATTCATTTTACCTTTAATAATCATGTACCAACTGACAGGGTTACCGTAAGTTTACAGCAGCTGAGAGAGAGATATTAATATGTACTTTACCACATTCAAATGAATCGAATTGAATCGAGATTGGACTCGAATTGCAAGCTTATGAATCAAAACCGAATCGAATCATTCAATTTGTGTCAAAACCCACCCCTAATAAAAACACAGTACTAGTCATTGTACCATGTAAACATTGCAACATGTTGTCAGTAAACCTAATGAAATTCTGTTCAGTTATCAAATGTTTTGACAATCACAATTCTTCTTGCAAAAAACAAAAACAAAAACACCCCCTCCCACCCTGAACTCAGAAGTTGTCAGCCCTGAAAGTGAATTGAGAACATGGCTGGTTTTCTCTGTATTGATGTCTTACCGTATGCTTTCATTCAGGGTGTAAAGCTCATTGGTCTGCAGCCCCCCACCTTGGAAGACTTTAATTACAGCCGTTTGAACACTGCAAAACAGAAATGACTCAGGAAATAATTCAAATAGGCCTGACCGCTGATTTGCAAGCCAAGCAAATTCCATGCAAAACATGCCTTTATATGCAAGACTTTCACTTTGTAAAAATATGTCAGAATCAAGAAATGTCACCTGTGTCAGGGAAATTGTCTCTGTTGTTCATATCTATGGTCAGCATTTTTTGTCTGCTTGCCAGCAAACTTTCACTGCCAACCGACCACAGATTTGACTAACATCCTGCTCTACACTTCCTGAGAGAGGGGCAGCAGAGGTCTCGTTTCCATTAGGAAGTGGTAAAGGCAAAGGCTGCTGCAAAAAACTTACCGTCTCTAAAGGGTTTTTCCCGAAGACTAAATATGGCAAGCTAAGTGTGAAGTCATAAGTTACAAAGCAAGGTTCCAATTTCGAGTCTGCGGTACTGTAAACATCGCCCCTTTTAATGCAAAGTTCGTGGCTTCCTGAAAACTAATTAAAAATTTATCAATTTAAAGGGACAGTGCATCCAAAAATGAAAATTCTGTCATTATTTGGGTCAATGATAAAAAATAAATAAATAAAAAAGACAAAAAGTATTCATGCATTTCTACATTGACTTCTATATATGAGGATGTTTTTTTTTATTTCTGAATTAAAACTCATTTTGATATTTTTTGGGGGGTGGGGGCGGAACTGTGGTCAGCGACGGTCCTGATATTATAATCTACATTTACATTTATGCATTTGGCAGACGCTTTTATCCAAAGCGACTTACATTGCATTTCAAGGTACATATTTTACATTCTCATCAGTTCTTGCTTTCCCTGGGAATCGAACCCATGACCTTAGCGTTGCAAGGGTACAACGCTGTAGCTCAAACAGTAGAGTTTGAGCTACAGGAAAGCTATAAATGAATAATGAATAATAATGAAGCGAGAAAAAAATCCTTTCCCATTAAAATAATAAAATTGGAAAGAAAACTTTCTAAAAGCATAATCTTTTATTATTATTTCTTAGAAAAAAATATTTTAACAAAATTGGTACACTTTATTAATATTCGAAAGACTTTTGTCTGCCAAATCCAAGGCATGTGGTAAAACTACAAAAAAAAATTATACAGGACATGATGTCATTGAGAGGACTCCTGCAGACGCTTATTACTGTGTGTCAAGATCAGTAAGTCTTTTAAAATATCAGATAGTGAGTAGTTAGTTACCATAGTAGTTTTATGGGTAACACTTTAGTTTAGGGTCCAATTCTCACTATTAACTAGTTGCTTATTAGCATGCATATTAGTAGGATATTGGCTGTTTATTACTACTTATAAAGCACGTATTAATGCCTTATTCTGCATGGCCATATTCTACATCCCTTACCCAATACCTAAACTTAACAACTACCAACTAACTATTAATAAGCAGTAATTAGGAGTTTATTGAGGCAAAAGTTTAGTTAATAGTTTGTTAATGGTGAGAATTGGACCCTAATCTAAATTGTGACCATTTTATAACAATATAAGGTTAGTTTTTACTTGATGTTTACACTACATGACATATTTAGAGTCAGTTGGATATAAACTTTTCTTGAAAATGGTGTAAAAGTTTTTCAGACCCGTTTGAAACCAAAATAAAAAAAACAATACATTTCTAAGAACTTGCCATGTTTTATGAAAAATAAGGTTAGTTCAGTTGCAAAATGTCATGTGGTGCCACTCCCTAAAAACTAAATAATATCTTGAAATAGTAATTCATTATATTTGCAAAAAAATAAACCTTTTTTACTTATTATACATATTGTATTTAAAAACTTTTTGAAAATAATAATTAAGATGTGTACATCCACATGTATTCAAGGCGTAAGGAAAATATGTCATTCGTTTTTACTTGATGGTTACAATACATGACATTTTTAGAGTCATTAGATATAAACTTCATTTTAGATATAAAGGTCATGTGGTGTGACTCCCCAAAATTACCAGATTTTTTAATGAACTTTCTTTGTAAAAAATCTCTATTGTGCCAATTAAAACGGAATAAAAATATCCTCAAATCTCGTGGCAATTAATGAAACAATGCCTTTTCTCTTTTTCGTCCTTGAGAAAGAGAACCACCCACCTGTTCCAAACACTAGCGTTGGACAGCTGTAATGTTGGCGAGCTGGCATGAAAGCGGGCAAGGTCTGACAGCACAGGCGAGCTCATGAAACGTGGCCTGGGCTTTCGGAAGGACCCCATGCTTCAGGTGCGACGAGGACAGGCACGTGCTAGAACAAATGTGAGATACAGAAAGTCACGTTAGAGGCAAAAACTCCCACAAGGTACACCAAAAGGGTGACGCAAAATAAAAAAAACACAAAACCACCGCAAAGTGCAGTTGTTTACACGGTTCATCTGCGGTGACTCATTTATATCGATGCCTGTGTCATAGTGAAAGCCACACAGAACATCTACCATACAAACAAGCACACTTCCTTCGATGCGAAGCCTGACATGAGACTTCCTTGTGAACTTATGGCTGCAGAGGTTTCTGATAATCGCAAAAAAAAAAAAAAAAATCTGTTAGGATGCAGTTAACCAGATGCCTGTATCAGATGCTGACACGTTCAAACACCTCTCCTCTTGGTTTCCTATGCATGCATGCTTTCCAGAATTGTGACTCAAGCTGTCTTGCTCACATACTCACCCTTGATGGCATCACAACTCGAACCCACACACATCTGATACCAGATAGCAACTGTAAACTTACATATTTATCCCAACTGCCTAATAATAGGTTAGGTCGGTTCCCACACTGACAAAATCAGTGCAGCAATGGCAACTATGGTGCCACGAGAAGGCAAACAATGGCTCCAATTATAGGCTGTCTTTGTAAAGCCTATGATGAGTTAAATTGGTACTTTATCCACCCAGCAAGAAGATGGCAATGATGTCATATCAGATGGCACACCGAATCTGTTCCATCATGCCACTTGCTGCAAGAAAGTGAGCTCATTCACAGTCTAACATTATGAATGAAAATTTTATGCATCCATACTCACCATCTGCTAATTATGAGGCCAAAAGCAAGCCATGCTGCAGACTCCCACTGCCGTTGATTCATTCTCTGCACTCGCATACATAATTCGCATTGAATTAAGCTTATGGGGCACCTCTGGTTATAAATCACACTAACCAAGACATCACGCTCCTTAAGAATAATCTCATTATTTTAGCTCTGGCTTATTACTTTATTCACCAAGTGTTTTGGTGAATTAGGGCTTGGATTGTCTGGTTTGATGGTTGACTGGTGAACTTGTAATAACAGACATGAGCAAATACTCAGGGCAGTTAGGTAATGCAATTAAGGCAGCAGCATCTCAAAGCATGACCAGAAGAGAGTAAACAGCCTCATTTATCATCCGCGTCCAACTGCTGACCCGGCTTAAGTACATTAAGCGGACTCTCAAAGTCAGCCTCAACTTTTTGAAGGCCCATTTACACTACGGAGGATAACTATAATGTTTAAATAATCATTCTAATTCTATAAAAGCAGCTGAAGTCCACATCACAACTTTGACTAGTTTAGTTTTAATTTTGGTCAGCCCGGAAACTTTTAATGAAAGCATTGTTTGGGTTATGAAAATCATTTAAAGGAACAATTCACGCAAAAATGATAATTCTGTCATCATGTACTCAACCTTGAGAAGTTCCAAACCTGTGTGGTTTTCTTTCTTCTGTGGAACATAAAATAAGTTATTTTGAAGATTTATTTTGTCCAAAACATAATTGGACCCCATTGACTTTCACTGTATTGACAATGAGGCATTTTTCAAAATATCACATTTTCTGTTCCACGGAATATAAAAAAAAATTATATTAGTTTTGTGTGAACTGTCATTTTAAGTAAAATGAAAAAATGCTTTCTCCGAATTTGCCTATAAATGAATGCCCGAAAATGTTGTAGCGCACTAGTTTTTGAGGCACAGCCAATGAAGGAACCTATGTTGAGAAATCATCTACATCCCAAGAATCCCATAAAAGGTGAGCTTTACCCTGTAAGACTTTTTTAATAACATTCATTAATGACATTAACTCACATAATTACAACGTAAGAAATAAGTAGTTCAACTGGCATTAAGTTCTACACGTTTAGTTAATCTTCTCTATACATGTATCCTCTGGGGTAATCTATACAGGACCTCAAGACGCTATGCGTAAATGTTGCACTTACCCGCTTGTTCTTCTCAGTCCTAACTGAATGTTAGTTTGGCCACATTGTAATTTCCGCGACAGTTTTCACAAATTTGTACTCTCAATGCAACTGTGACGAACGAACGCTCTGTAAAAACCCATAGGCTACACATAAAGGTAAAACTTCTTAAGGGTTAAGAAGCCCGTTTGTCAACTTAGTATTCATCGTGTGAGTCAAGAATGAAAGATGCTCCGCTGTGAAGCGCCGCTCGTGGGCGGGCCATGGGAGGAGTTTTCTGTAACTGTTTCACACATGCAACAAGTGTGCTGTGAGTCCGAGTCATTTCCGGAATCGGTTCTTTTGAACAGCTCGGTTCGAGTAATTATTTATTTCCGTCAAAGTAGTTGGCTCAGCTGGGTTCGAAATCGCCCCATCACCCTCACTATTCCCTACAATACTCCACTAATTTCGCCCACTTGAAGAAGTAAATAAAAACGAGTGAGTGAATTCGGACACTGAGTGTGCCGGAAGGGCTGCCGCTTTTGCATAGTTTGTGCTTGCCGTTTAATAATCATTTGATAGTTGGCAAACTGGCAGCTCCAATAGTAGAAATTCAAAGATTTATCTTGATCTCTGTCATGGAAACTAGCATGTATAAACCTTAATTAAACAATTTAATAATAATATATTAAAAAGGGATTTATGATATTATGCTGTAGCCACATTGGACCAGCGGTTCGGAAAATGGATGGATCCCAGGCTCCACAAACGGCAACAAAAACAAACTGGGCCAACCCGCACCACGAAACATAACAAACTGTGTTCCAGCCAATAACCGACAAGAAGGGTTTGGGGGGTTAGTGCGCGGATGAGGAGGAGGGAGGGTCTAGCTAGCCTCCGTTTTGTTTGACAATACTTCGAACGTCAACAAGAAGTGACGTCACCCAACATCGCTTAGAGCACCTTTAAGGGTATGGGGCGATTTCGGACACAGCCCGGCTGCCCGAGTAATTTCCGGAAGCGGTTCTTTTGAACAGCTCGGTTCGAGTGATTCTTTTCCGTAAAAGTAGTTGTGTTCCACCGATTGGTGTATGACATCAAAGTACTGCTGTCTGCTCTCTAAATGCTCTCACGGTTTTTTGATGTCATACACAGATCGGTCTGCGCAGTGCCGCTTTAAGTCAAACACAACTATAGTGTGTTCTAATGTAGCCTATACTGCTTAATACAGCGTCTGTTTGTACAATAATAAAGTTCAACATAATCCTATCAATGAAGTAGGGTCTACGTTTTTTCTATCCATTTTATTTAAAAAAAACATGACACAATATAACATCGCAACTACATAAGAAGAGCTTTTACTGTTAGAAAAAAACAGATTTGTGATGAAGGTGTGAGAACATGAAACACACGTGATTGGTGTCATGCGGTAAATTCGGCCAATGGTGGACCAGTTATGTCTCATCAGAGCAAGTGTCTCTTGAGAAGTGTCTCTTGAGAAGCTGGGCAGACTGAACCAGCCGGCTGCTCTCGAATCGCTCTCGCGGTACTTTGATGGCATACGTCACAGTCACGTGGCGTTGGGGCTGTCTCAAGTCGGACAAAATTTCTAACCGGCAGCGCTGCTTCAAGTCGAACACACCTGTTGACTTTAGATTCGTTTAGACAGAGCAATTCAGTCAGACCCAAATTTGTGAAGTGATTCGCTAAACACGCCCGAATCAAAATAACGATTTGTTCACTAATCGAACATTTAATTGTGTTCAACAACTGCGGACGCTTTGATGAGCGTTTGGCGTGCATTGTCCATGTCTGCATGACTGGAATTTATTATGTTCATACTCTGGTTTTCTTTAATTCCCAAGCATCTTCAGCATAAGTTCAAATAAGGAGCCCTAAAAGTATCATATTCCTTTAGGCCATGTAAGCTTTTTTCCCCCCTAAGACGAACTGCTGACCCGCCTACTGGATTTAGAAAGGAAATTAAAGATTTGACAATAACAACAGGATCATCTGGCCAATACTTTGAAATGACTTTTTAGAAATCCTCTAGAGGGCAGTATTGCACTGCTCGTGAGTTTCAGTAGCATTCAGCACATTACAGTTACTCAACACGTTGAAATGGTGAATACATTTTTTTGGTTGTTGCTGATTTACCATTGAAACATCGATCTACCTACAAAGGAAAGCATACAGAAGCATAATTATGCAGAGGATTTTTTTTTTTATAAGAGGCACATTTTTCTTTTTACAACAAATTGTCATTTAGGTGCATGCTTGCTTAACCTTCATAAAAGGATGATTGTCAGACTCAGAAGGTCAAACTAAATAACATATGAGCTATGAGTTTTATTTTATATTAATTTTACAGGACCCATGTCTCTCCAAAATTTCCGTCTCCAAGACACAAAACCCCGATTTGTGTAATTTTGCAAATGTCTCGCAATAAATTTCAAAAGTAGGGTAAATAGGCTAGATAAAATCAATACCATTTAAAATGAATAATCTATCTATTGAAGATCATACCTAGATCCATGCAGCACTAACTTATTATATAACTAATTGCAAGCAAACAAATGCAAAAATATGTATCACCTTTTGGTCAGGCAAAGGACAGTGAATGTCTGAACCAGAGCAGGAAAATAAAGAAGTTGTTCTCTGCGACCGGTGGTCCTCTCATTAGTTTTGGCAAGGCCCTCCTCAACAGGCACAGGGGTCCTGTTGACCTTGATGGCAAGAGTCCTGTGTTAAACACTAATGAGAGAGAGACATCCCTATGCTTGTCTACAGCTCCGGCCCGATCAAACAAAGGGGAAGTGGTCTAAAAATAAACGGAACAGATTAATGACTGATCTGCAGGTGAAGGCGGTGCTCTTTTGTTTGTTCTTCAGTGAAGGTGTGGATATTTATGTGTTTATGGGAATTTATGGTTTTCTGGCTGAAATAATAAAGATCTGCCCATTTTTGACCTTCTGCTTGGAATACTTAGATCCAGAAAATGCTCTCCGAGGCTGATCCTCAACCTTTTCCCCTTTCAAATTGAAATTCTTGACATGGTTCCCTTAAAAAGCTAAGAATCTAGGAGATGTGCCAGCAAAAAAAAAAAAAAAAAAAAAAAAAAAAGCAGCTATGAGAAAAAGACAATACGCTGCTCATGTTCCAAGCCCTCCGCGGGCAGGAAGAAAAAGTGGCAAATTCAAACAACAATTAATTTGCACAATATAATCCACTTCTATTCCCTGCCAGCAGGATTTATGCCAACTCTGCACATGAGAGCCATGAGGCTCTCTCTGGGCAGGAACAATTTCATCAGCCCTCCATGATTGATGAGGAGAGCAATGAATCTCTGGAGCAACAAGGCAGAAACAGCCTTTCCCTCTCTCACAGTCCCTGTCACCTCTGTTTCCCTGGCGATTCCCTGCTTTCCGTGATTCTTCTGCTCTCGTCACTCTCCGTCATCTCATATTCTTCTCTGGGCCAATGTGCTTGGCATATTGTCTCATGTTTATGGAAAACAGATCTAGTTAGTGAAATAATTGTAGTCAATCATACTAAATGTAGTTAGTCACAATGTAATAGGGGGCAATGTTCATTGAAAATGATTTAAAAAAGTAATCTGTTCTTCATTAAAGTTTTACAGATAAATAAACGAATCATAGATTAAAAAATAGATGAGATAATGACTCCAGTTTTGAGTGATGCCCCCTCAACTCCACTTGGTGTCAGTATAAGTCCGAGAGACTTACAGTACAAGCGAAAAATAAAGGTACGGTCATGTTACCGTTGTTCCGCAGTAATTACAATAGGTATCTTGATCAGGAATTTCGGGGGAAAGGTCTGTCTACTGCCAAAAGTGTAGCAAAGTATGTAGCACAGCTCACGCATAATTTACTTTCAAACCAATCACCTTCTGTTGGTCGATCTTTTTTGCGAAATCTGTGTCGGGAAAACTTTCGCTCTTGAGCAAAATCGCATGAATAAAATATTGATTTTGAAAATGTTGAAAATGATAGTTTTGAGAATATGGTTGAGATTGCGAATATGAGCCAGATGCTGAATGTACTGGGAAATGAGCTCTGACGATGACAGTAATGAAAACATCTGATCAAACGAAACCCTTTCAAGCTACCAGAAGGTAACAAAATATGCATTATTTTATACTTCAATAATTGTTACTCTAATATTATATTATTACGACAGGTAAGAGATCCATCCGTGTTAGATATAGATCCGGGTCGCTAAAGACCCGAGTATGTAATAATGATTGGTGAAACATTCATGCATTTAAGGGTTAAAATGTAAAGGTCAATGTAACAGCACCTTAAAGGGCTTTTTCACCTGAGCGTGATGTATGACGCGATAACGGTCCGTCCAATTAGATTTGAGCTTACCTGAGCTTACAAAAGTGTAAAAGCGCTCAGTGTGAAAGGGCCATAAGATGGGCGAGTGTTTGCGAAACCCGTTTGAAAACAGTTGCAAGTGGCGCAAAAATGCACTTCACCTTCAAAGTCTGGACTTTTTTTAGTAAAACATCAGTAACAGCTAGAATAGAAAGTGACATGAGGGACAGATAATCGTGTTATTTTGTCGTGGAGGCCACAATACTGTACTGTACGGGTGGGACTCATGTTGACATTATCCAACTCCAAATTTAGCTCCATTATTAAAATGACTATAATCCATCAAAGCGAATCAGCCCTGCGCTTGCTTTCACTGTAAGGGAGAGACAGTTCACAATGAGGACTTTGATCAGACATGCCATTAAAACGACGAGTTAAGGAACTTGCTTCATGATTTTAAAAGCTTTAGAAAATAAAAGTGCATTTTTCAGCAGTTGGGTCTGGCTAGCTGAGGTTGCGGGCCTCAGATGCCATGACTGATTTATGAGGCACTGCCTCAGTGACACCGCCCACTTCTGCACTTCCTCCATCCCAAACAAATCAAAAAGAACAAATCTTTATTCCACAGTCAATATATCTGACGCTTACAAATTTTAATAATATATATTACAACCCGAATTCCGGAAAAGTTGGGACGTTTTTTAAATTTGAATAAAATGAAAACTATAAGACTTTCAAATCACATGAGCCGATATTTTATTCACAATAGAACATAACATAACAAATGTTTAAACTGAGAAATTTTACACTTTTATCCAATAAATGAGCTCATTTCAAATTTGATGCCTGCTACAGGTCTCAAAAAAGTTGGGACGGGGGCACGTTTACCATGGTGTAACATCTCCTCTTCTT